AATCAATGACGTGCACGTGCCATATACGAATATATGATAACAATAATTATTTGTTTGCTTTATGAATAGGATAGATAGAAAAATATTTTATTTTTTAAGCGGGAAGGAATTAAAGATACTGCAATCGGGTGATGGGTACATTTAATTGATTAATTCAATAAACTCATCATTGTTTGGCAAAGAGCCAACAAAAAAAAAAAAGCTCATTAATGAGGGCCGCCTGCCGTGGGTCCATTAGCTAGCTAAGCACGTATCTTTTTTTTTTTAAAAAAAAATAAATTATTAGCAAAATTTTTTAATACAATTATTCATTTGATTATGCTATGGCATGACGTCTTACCAGTTCGTGCTTGTTAGTAACTATTAACAAATTTTTAAGGATAAGCTTGTTTGAAAAACAAATAATACAACTATAAGTGCTGTTAAAAAATTTTAATAAAAGCATAATAGATAATTATATGATTTTATAGATCTTGCAACTTGGAATCGACTCCCACAAATTTACAAGTAAAATATATACTCATATTGATATGGTAAGTTCAATTAAGGATTTAGCAAGTTCATTTGATATTATGGCAACTTTTATTATGCATTTTAAAATCTTTTATTTTGCAGTTAACAAGTTAAAGTTTATAAATCAATAAGTTAAGCTAGCATTTTCAACTCCTAGCATTGAAAATTAAGTAATTTTATTAATTTACATGAACTGTTCCCCAAATCTGAAGATATAATTTAATTATACCATACAATTTTATAAATTAATTATACCATACGATATAAATAATTATATTAATCAATTTTTTATAATGAATTTTTTGTACCCCATTCATTTAATGTGTAATTGATAAGTTTTTTAAGTGTTCATAATAAATAAATTAATTATAAGTGAAACGCGGGATAAATATAAATATTTTATTAAAAAAATTATTAAAAATATTTCATATTTTGAAATAAAGAGAATAATATATATCCAAACCAGACTCTATCTCATGCTCGCCCATGTTATTGGTTTTCCCACAAGACACAGACCCATTTGCGAGTTGTGACAACTGATAAGAATGAGTGATGGACACCGGACTCGATGAAACATTATATTGAGATGAGGAGAGTAGTTTTTTTTTTTTTTTTTTTCACAAAAGATGAGAAGAATAGTTAAAAGCTTTTAAATTAATTAAATAATTTTTCAAAGATAACTTTTATTTATGATATCTTTCATTTCAAAATATTTTTTAACCAAGATAATAAATATATAGGTGAAAATATAGTAATTTAACTCAATCGATTTAATTATGACCACGATCATACTACTAAATGTTAACATATTGTCCCGTTTGGTCTGATCACTGATTCGATTTTTGATATATTAGTATTTTATTATGGCCAACTAATTGAACTGAGATAGTCCCATAACTAACAAATCCATAAGGATCCGTCTCGCTCTCGTGTCTGTAACAAACTTTCATTTTTTTCCCCATTTAAAAATATAATAATTATATATCAAAAGTTTCGTATGCAACGCAAACTCACACATAAATAAAATATTATTGAGTTAATATATAATTTAAATTTTAAATGTTAAATTCTAGGGTGATTTGAACCCTGAAGCTTTAAAAAGTATATTGTGAATTATAGACTGTTAAAGTTGGGTCAATTTTGCTCTCACCATTAAATTAAAACAAACATCCATTAGCTTTGTAAAAATTAAGATTTAATATGCGCTTTCATCAAATTTCACTCTCCCTTACTCTTACCTTCATTTGAAAAAAATTACATATTAGACCTTATTTTTTAATGATGGGGTGAAATTATTTTCGCTCTCAACTTTAATTGTTTAAAATTTAAAATATATATTTTAAAGTTTAAGTTTAAAATGCCCTGAATTTATAATTTAAGATTTAAATTATATATTAACTTTTATAATAACTTACAAAATTAATGACATAAAGTAATGACGAGTCATGATACTATTCTATTCTATTATTTAAGAGTTTTATGAGGTCTCATTTAATTGATATTATTTTGGAATTATTGTTAAATAATTACTGTAACGTTAATTCAAATGGAATGATGTGAAATAAATGTCACCGTTGTTTCAAGCTTTATGTCACAAATCATGATTTTTTAAGAGGTTAAGTGGCTGCGAAATGCTCCGAAATGTTGCAAAATCTTCCAAAAGACCTCGATTAATCTTAAAAGAGTAGAATGTATAAGAACATTTTAAAAAAATTTACACAACATCAGTCTCAATATTTTAACACTATCTCTAGATATTTCCAAGTAAATATCTAAATATTTATTGTAAATATCTATGAGAGAATTATAGAGAATCAATTATATTTATAAGATTAATTCAATCTTCACTGTTTATTAAGGAAGTAAAAAATTTTTAGATTCAAAGGAAGGCCTATAAGTACGACCTCCCTTTTTATTTGTAACTATTATTGAGTTCTTAAACAACATAAGTTTCACATTTTTTGAGCTCTCTCAATTATCCTTTACTCTCAAGTTTTTCTTTTTTTCAATTTAGCAAAGCATCTTCCTTTTTCACAAACCAAATTTACTTAACATCTTCTAATGAAAAATGTCTAAATGAGCATGAGTTGAAAGACTAGCCCTGTGACATTTAACTTTCTTATAGTATATGATAGTTTTATAACAATATTTTCTAAAAGGTAACAATATTATTATACAAATTTGCAAAGTCTATTTATAGGGAGAATTTCAATAAGACCTTTTGATCACACTTATTTAAATTTAAAATCCCTAAATTTTTACAATTTTATTGAGTTCAGGGATACTAATTTGATATTAAATTTTTTAAAAATGATAAAATTGCCCTTCATTTAAATTAATATCAGAATTGCCCTAATTTATTTGTTAATTGCCTTACTTCACTTATTCATTTTCCTGAAATGAAATTAAGTGAAAGTCTCGCAATGAACAAGAAAAATTAAGCAATGATCAACAATATGTAAATAAATAAATAACATACAATATAAGAATTAATAAGATGTCTTAAGATAATTTAAACACCTAAAATGAAAGCAAGTAAAATAGGATAATTAACAACATTTTGTAAATAAATTAACAAGTGATCTAGAAAAGTTTCGATATTAATTTAAATGAAGGATAATTTTATTATTTTTTTAAAAAATTTAATATCAAATCAATACTCTTGAACTGTAGTGTAATAACAGAAATTTAGGAACTTTAAATTTAAATAAATATAATCAACAGATCTTTATTGAAATTCTCCCATATTCATACACACACTAATATTATGTAATATGAAAATTATATAATGAGAAATCAATTCTTGGAATAGCGCAATGAGGATGCAAGTTGAAGCTACCCACGGTTCTTAGATCTATTCAACAATAATCCTCTGCTTTGGTGGTACCATTACATCAATTATTGTTGTGGCTTTAATTAATGGAGCATCAAAATCAAAGCAATAATTAAGTGTTTGGGTTAAATATAATTAAAAATAAAATCAGTAACAACGGAGAGAAAATCAGCTCGAGGGAGGTAGACTTGTTTTGGCTTAAAAATAAAGAAGTGCCTAAGAGGTGCATTGCTGGGTGTTTCCGTGTTCTCTGTCCCTTGCCATTTTATGGTGTTTTTCTGTGTTTGAATTGTTCTTTTTTTTTTTTTGTTTAAGTTAAAGGATCAATCTGTAATCCATATAGAATCACAGTTACATAAAAAAGGGTTTAAAAAAACGGTAAATGAAAAATAAAAAATAAATTAAAGAGAAATGCTGGACAAGGGCCAACCACGGTTGGAAACTGAAAAGGCACAACAAAAAGGTGGTTTTATATATATGTGGAGGGTAATGGATAGATCTTTACTAATTAATTAAATTGCTACATGTATAAGGGTTATAATTTAAGCCCCACCCACTTATTTAAATGATGAAAGTTTTTATCATCTATATTAATTTTAATTAATTAGTTTCATGATATTATTATTAAAGAAGTATTTCGTCCTCTCACTTTCGTTCTACGAGTATTCTTTAATATAAGACAAACTTTGAAAACACTTTTTAATTTTAAATATAAGATAAAATTAGATTAATTAATTATTTTTTTCAATTTTTCTGCTTGCTTATGTATTATTATTTGAATTTTTAAACTATAATTTAATATGGTTATTAATTGTAAATTAGGGGAAAATTTAAAAATTGCAATTTTTAAGAGACTTCTATTTTCATTTTTACTTTCATCTCAACTTCTATTTTCACTTAATCTCTTCTCTCATATCAAATGGGGCATTATAACAAACATGGAGTTAATTAAGTTTGTTTTAGATTAACTCAAGGATGAAGCATACATATTAAGGTTAGAGAAGCATACTTCCTCCCATATCTATTATAGTGTAAAATAATTTTTAAATCCTTAATATAAGGTACATGAAAAGTTATTTATTATATTTTTTATTATAAATTTATTTTTACGGCTTACTATATACAGTGTATTTTTCTCCTCTTTATTTTTAATGTAGATAGAATTAAAAAAACATTATTTTAACATGTATTTAATGAGTTTTTTTTTTTTGGGCCAAGGTATTTAATGAGTTAACTGTACCTTACTTTAAATGAATGTAGTTGAAAGCTTGAGAGGAGTGAGAACATTGGTCATTTTAAGTTTAATGGCAGGTTGTTTGCAACAGCTGAGAGATCATTAATCTGCATTTCACGAGGTTACCAAAGTGTCAAATATTTGTGGTCGTTAGATGGCGCCTGGAACCCAAGACACTTTCACTGACCTCACCTCCTCCACTTTTATAAACGCCCATGCCTTCATCTCTATCCATCGATAACACTCGCCTCTTCTGGCCGATTCCCTTGACCCAATCTTCAGTCTCCACAGACTCTTTCAATCTCCTTCCACCTCGGTCTCTCTTCTTCACTCCCCACCCTCCCTCTAGTTTTAAACCCTCCAATTTCTCTAAAGCTCTCGTCTTTCTTCACTCGGGGCATTTCGGTGTGTCACTTTCTTTGCTCCCTTTAAGCTGTCCTTCTTATTCCCATTGTTGATGTTTTTCGAGTCTTGGTGCATGAAACTGGTATTTAGTGTTCTGATACTTAATTTAAGCTTATTGGATAGCCTTACAATCTTTTTTGTGGTCGGTATAATCTGTGGTTAGGATCACAGCCATTCTATTTCTGGGTCATCCGGAGGCATCCAATCGATGGGATTAAATTCATTTGCTTCCCAGCAATTTCCTGACTTGATTTGAAATTTTGAATGGATTCTTAAAGAAGTTTTATGAACTCTCTTCTTTCTCTTTTTAATAAGAATTCATCTCTGTATTGGAGATGAAGTTGAGCAAGGATACCGATAAAACTTTAATCATGTAATTCTCGAGGTAATGATTCAAGTCACGTGAACCAGCATCTTATCTGAAAGATTGATTACATTCTTGGTCAGGCCCTGCTTTTTTCTTCCTACTACAACGCGAAATTAGTTATTGCTTAAAATGGAGTGTGTGGCACTTTCTGTTTTATATAAGCTTAACTTAAGAATTTGTATTATTCACTCTCTTTGCAGAAGTAAGCCACAGCCACAATGGAAAACTTGCAAATCTTAGTCAGGCCTCTATTTCATGCATTTCGGCATGCAGGACCCTAAGTGAGTAGTTTTTTTCCCATACTGATCGTTACTGATTATAATAGCATGCAGTTTTATTGTTTTGCTCTGTTTATTGATTGATTTAAAGATGATTGTTGAAACTTGACGCGACGGAAAATCATTTGTCAGGTACTTCACTCAGATATGGCTTCTGGTTTGGTGATTCATAACAATCCAAGAGACAAGTTTTCTTTGGGGAAAATTATGGTTGTTAACAAAGACTTACTCAGCAATTTACATGAAAACATTCTCGGTCACATCCTATCTTTCCTTCCCGCAACAGAGGCAGTCCGTACTAGTGTCTTATCTAAAAGGTGGATTCGTGTTTGGACATCCATTACCGGACTTCGGTTCAACGATTCTATGCTTTATTCTGGGAAGAGGATGTCAAAAGAACACTTCATACACTTTGTGAACAGCACACTTCTTCACCTTGGTGATTCAAGCATCCCAAATGTCTCTCTCAGTTTGTCGCGTTTCCTGTATGATCCATCTCAGATTAGTGCGTGGATCTCTTCTATCCTAGAAAAAGGAGTCCAAAATCTTCATATTCAGTATGCTGATAAAGTCTTTCTTTCTTCTTCTTCTTTTTTTGATTGTAGCTCCCTAGAGCATTTAGTGCTTCAAATGAGATGTACTCTTAGTGTTCCCTCATCTGTTTGTCTCCCAAACCTTCAACACCTTAGCCTTTCTGGAATTAGGCTAGTGAGAGATTCCTCTACTGATTCAAAAGATCTGACTCTTAGCTTTCCTGTCCTCAAAGTTTTTGAAGCTAGAGGATGTGAATGGTCAATGCAGAATGTTAGCATACAGGTCCCTCAGCTTCAAACCTTTTCCATAGCATTCTGGAACCGCCCATCCAATGAGTCAAGCAGATGTTCCATTAACGTTAATGCTCCACATCTAACTGATTTCTCTTATGAGGGTGATCTAGAAAATGAAATCATTCTATCAAATCCGTCATCCATTCTTATGGCTTCTGTTGCGATTGTTGTTGATGAAGACAGAAATGATGGAATGCAAGAAATCAGTCCTCGAGCACATATGCTTCTCAGACAAGTTCATGAAGTGGAGAGCCTAAAATTATGGTTCTACAAGGTATGCTCATTTTCATGACATAGAATAGCAGTTGTGTTGAATGTTGCTAGTAATTTTGCCTGTTGTTGAACACCATAAACACTTGTTTTTAAAGCAAAAGGATTTGATAATAACTATATAATATGAACACTTGTGAATTAAAGCAGAAAAAATGATTACAGATAAGTTCTGAAGCAGAACTGAATATACTTCTCCAGCGGCTATTCTTTTTATGAATTTATATCTTCAGATTTGGAGAACAGTTCATATAAAATAGTAAAAGCGAATTATTTTCTTTTTTCAAATAAGAATGATATTTGTGACATCTCAATTGTCAAATCCTATTATCATACGTTCTATGCAAGTGGGATTGTTATCTTTCTTGAGTTTTAATAGAGTACTTTCTTGGCTCTGGCTGGCTGCTTTGCATTCAAAAGGGAAAAGAAAATTATCTTATCGCCGTAGCATCAGATAATAAACAAGTTTTCCCTTGTCATGCAGGTACCTATGCATGCTAACGATGTTTTCACCAATCTACCTGCATTTGGAAGGTTGAATTATCTGCAAATAAATGAGGTTAACGGCGAAGCCCTATTGAACTTACTCCACAACTCGCCAATCCTTAAAAATCTTGTCTTACTTCATGTAAGTTTGGTCATATTTCCTAGTTCTTGGGCTTTTTTGGGTAGAATTATCAGGAATTTTAAACTCCTCATTTATGTGTTTGTTAGAGACGGTTAATATGACTGACAAATCAAAGACAATATTTTCAGGGAGTATCTAAATTTGATAAAGATCTCTTCGCTTCTGCATCAGTGCCTCGCTGCTTTCAGTCTCGCCTCAGAGTTTTCCAGTTTGGAGGATTTAATGTGCATGATCATGAGCTTTCTCTAGCAAAATTTGTAATGGAAAATGCAGCAAAGTTGGAGAGGATGACTATAACCACAGCATTTTGGCTGCAGTATTCAGATATTAACATGGAGAAGGTTAAGGAGCAGCTGCTCTCATTTCCCAAGTGTTCCAGCTCTGCATCAATTGAATTTGCTGATGTCAATGGTTTCTTAATATAATAAAAAGGCCCATGGATTAATCACGCTGCAATTATGCTTAAAGCTTACAGTTTCCAAGTTAACTTTAAAGTTTAAGCATACTTGCGGCGTGATTATTCCTTGATATTCCGCAAAATCATCCCCATGGCCTTCACTTGATAACTTTAAATTTTGCAAGTTAAATTATCCTTTACCTGTACAAAACTTGTTTCGAGGAATGTTCCTTGATATTCCACAAAATCGGCAATATTTTTCCTGGGATTATGCCTCCAACAATGGTGAATCCATCCCATTTTAATATGCACGGATGCTCCATTTTCTTTTCTGGTCATGGGATGTACTTGATTGCATATACGTCTATTATGTACTCAACGGCAAATAATCTTATCATATGACCAGTTGTTTCACAAATATTGTCAATGTAGCTCTGCCAATAGAGAATAGAACAACTTAGTTCTTCCCATCTCTCAGCACGTCCTTGCGTATAAATTACCTCAGCTGAGAACTAATGAGAAACTATAAGCCAGTAAAAGTTTTCTTTTATTATATTTATTTACTATATATTACTACATAATTATCATTTGAGTTAAAGTATGTGATTTAGAATACCGTGAAGCATTTCTTTTCACAATCTGGCTAACACTTCAGTCATTCTCACCTTGATTTTCAAAATAAACTCGATAGTGATCAACACGAATATAAGAGCAGGGAATAATCGAATGAATTTTATATGGATTAAACACTAGCTGTACAAATTAGGGCTTTATATGGAGTAAACTGGAATCAGAGATGGGGGTGCTGATTTATTTCTTTTAATATACTTCCTCCATTTAAAAATGTAAGGCATTTTTAATTAAATCTCACCTCTCAATAAAATAATTATCTATTTTCAAACTAACCCTATCTTTTCATATTTATTCCTATTAAACACTCTATAATAAATATAAAGTCACTATTAACAGGGACACTTTTAAAAAATAATAATGATTACATCTCGAAAGATTAAAAATTCTTTACATTTTTAAACATTTAACTCTTTAAAAAATGTCTTATATTTTTAAATAGAGAAAGCAGACATTATTATGATTCATTGAAATGTTGGTTGAATTAATATAAACTAATTTTCCTCCCTCCTCTGTTGTCTGCGTGTGTGCGCGAGCGTGGGGTTTTCGATTTTTTTTTGGTCCCGAGGGGGGGTGGGGGAGCTAGCTTGAACCAGATCAGAAAAAGCCCAAAAGAAATCACAATCAAGAAACAACTTCAAATATCAAACAAGCCAGACAGGGTTCTGTGAAAACTGAACACTGAGCGGATTGAGTATTCACAATATGAACAATACTCTTATCATTATTTTTTAATTTCACTTTACATAAGATCTTCTTCTGAACATTGTGTAAGTACGATCTGTTTAATATTTATACAGAATCTCACTTCAGACAGTTTTCTCTCCGTACTCAAAGAAAAGTACGAAATAAATTATGCGCCGATCACCTTCAAGCTTCCCCAGCATTTTTGACTCCGATAGGCCTCCTACTCAAGACAAACACACTTTCACTGTCTATTGCTTAGGTTTGAGTTTAAGGGCAGCACTGCAGGAATTTCCACACCAGACATCAATTTCAAGACAAAGATGAAAATGCATGATCAAAATAGAAAAGGGAGACCTTGTAGAAGTAACAATTTACCTGTTGATACAGAATCGCTTTCCTGTTGGTGGAGGACCATCATCAAACACATGGCCGAGATGAGCATCACAGTTAGCACAAAGGACTTCTTGGCGAGGCATGAAGATAATTGACAGATCTAACTTTGATTTCACATTGTTCCTAATGGGCTGGCAATAGGATGGCCAGCCAGTTCCACTATCAAACTTAGCGGAAGATCTGGTAAGGAAAAAAAACAAGTGACTCAGGTTCAAGAAAACTCCATTATGTCAGGGTAAAAGATGGAATTTGATTTCATATAACAACATTTAAGGTATTGCTCACTCAAATAACGGCGTGTCACAACATATGCAATGATAAGTTCCCGGGGTTTTAGTATTCCAGTACTTCCTGAAATCAATAAGATCAGCATGAGAGTATAATCCTATAGATAACCAGCAATCCTTCTCCTCAAACCCGTAGGCCTTTCTATAGGAACCAAAATGAACGTTTCCTCGAGCATAAATGTGGACTAAAAGCTCAATAACTTACTCGTGGTGCAGAATCATAGTCACATGATCCAACAAACTGGTCAAAAATCTCCCAATACAATGGTTAAATTATATACCTTTGACACAAGCTTGTGTCAGTCCCAAAAACACGGGGGGAAAAAAAAGACGCATTCTTGTGAAACTATAATGAGCAACAAGAGATAGTTACATGTTATTTAATGAAGCGCATTTGCATTGCATGATGATGAGGTGCGTTGAAAATTTCTCTCTTGTAAAAGACTTTAGTCAAAGGAAATGCCACAAACAACTCCTGAAACCTCGTCTCCAATGTTTATATACCATGAAAATGATATAGAAGAAAAATTGATGGATTCTTTTTGAAACCAGAAATAGCAAGATCAATTCATTAAGCAGATGTTATTGTATCTTTTTTTCCCCAGTAATCAAAGACCTCCTGACAGAAAATAGTGAATCGATTTCACTACCAGCACTGGCCAAAACAAAAAACAAAAAAGAAAAAGATTTCACGACTGGCTGCTAGAAGTTAGAAATTAAGCACAAAGACATGCAAGTAATAAAGCCACAGCCACTGATACAGTATCCCCCCCACCCCCAAAAAAAAAAAAAAATCCTTGAATAATAGTCAAAAAGTGGCCAATATCACCGAACAGTTAGTGCCTAATGTGTAGCTACAACTACAAAATCCATTCAACAAACATACCCAGTGAAAGCCCTCTCAGTCCCCTTTTGGCGAGTAATATAAAATTGGTCATTTGTCAGCCTCTTCTTCCATTCATCATCGCTTAAAGATTTATAATCCACATCTCCGGCCCCTGCATGACAGAGAGGAGGACCGTGGAACAGAAAATCACAATTCAAAATCTCAATAACTATGTAGAACAAGCCTGACAGAAAGTATGCGTGCGCCAAGTCGATTTACTTTGATCATGGGCAGGATGGGGCAGTGCTGAAAGATGGATTGACTTATCCTCAAAAGGACGCATGAATCAAATTGACTAACTAGTAACTAGTCTTGTGAGTGTTATAATTTAACAGTAGATGCAACAATAGAAGCCAACATGATGAGTTTAGTTTGCCAGAAGCATAAAAGAATTACTGGTTTAAGCTCGATCCAGTCAGCAACAGTAATAGAAGAATTGCGAAAACCTAAAACCTAAAATCCAGGCAGCGTATAGATGGTGAAAAAAGTAAAACCGAGAGAATAAAAAAACCGAGAGCTCCTATATCAGCGATCACTTACCTTCGATGCTGTCGGTTTTCTGGGTAGATGATGATGATGACCCCATTGCCCGAATTGACGACAAAATCTTTCTGGGTTTGCCAGGAAACCGCGAAGGGCACACAAAAAATTCAAGCTGAGGAGCGACTAGTCTCTTGGACGGAAAAGGAATGTGCGATGTTGGTAAGCTTAATCTGTGAGAAGCCATTTTCTAAAAGCTTACGTTCTTCGCTTTTACTGAGCAACGCCGCGAATAATAGAATAACAGCATTCTAGTTGTGGGCGGTTGGATTCTCTGCTACGCGCTACATAACTGATTTTACTACTTCTTCTTCGGATCCGTCGATTTCAGGTTTTGAGGTGAATTGTTGATCATTAATGAAATGATTGGCTGGCGAAGAGCGTTGAGTTGGTGTGGCGGAGAAGGATGGCAACTTTTTGTTGTGACACGTGTCGGATGAGTATAGGCATGCGAGATGCCCAGAACCAGGCTATGTATTAGCCACGTGGAAGTTTTGACGCCTCCAGGGTTAGACTGGGAGATTGGTGCAATCTAGAAGTTATGTGTCTGCCCGAAAATTTTTATTTTGTCTGTTTCTATTTCTGAAAATAAATAACTTCAAAAAGAATCCAGTATTTTTTTATACTTTTATGTAAGATTATTGGTTTAAATCTAGAAAATGAAAAAAAAAATCACAGTATAAAATTTATATACTCATCTCACTTCATAATTTTCAAATCCGACCCTATGATATCATATTGGATATTAGACACTTTTACCAAAAAAAAATCTTAATTTTAATTAATTTTCAAGAGTAGTAATTCATTTAAGTCTAAATATTATTATAAATTATAGAAAATAACACAATCTTTAGTCTTTTATATTTTTATTGAATTTTACTTTTAATCTTTATAATTTATTTTGAATATTTTAAATCCTTATAGACCTTGTAATTTGACATCATTAAGGATCTAAAGAACAAATGTCACTTAGGACCTGTTTGAATAATTCTCAAAAGTATATTTAAATTGCATTTGGGATATGCTTTGGCCAAATTTAATAAATAATTGAATCTTTTAAATAAACTTTTGTCATATGTAAATTGAAAATCAAACACACACTTAATCTATTGAAATAATAGTGATTAAAACTATAAAGACTAAAAGCAAAGTCTGATTAAATTATAAGGGTGAATAATTATGTTTTTCTTAAATTATACTTCATCCAATCTTTCTTTGAAAATATTACCACCTTTTTGGCCTCAATTATGCAACCTTTCTTTATTTTAGTTGATTGGTATATATTTTTTTATATTGGGTTAGAGTACATTTTTGGCCAACCTTTTAGAGTACATTTTTGCTCAAGAGTGTATGATATCATAAATTTTCATGTAGTTAATTTTTCCCTTCAACATTTGACATCATATGTAAGTTTAAGATATCAGATGTTCATAAATGAATAGTTAATGAGTAAAAATACAATTTAATCCTTTTACATTATAGTAGCATGGTTCCTGCAAATGACTTTGCTTTGTAAAAAAAAATGTTTTTTATCAATTTAATAATCGAAACATAATGATCATCCATTCAAATTAATTCATTTCCTAACAAATATGTAATTTTTTCACATATTTTTGTTCACATGATGCAAACATAAATGGTGTACGCTACTTGGGGGTATTTGGTTGGATTAATTGAGAAAATCAAATCAGTTATCTTAAAATATTGAGTTTAAATATTGGGATACACATTCATGTTAAATAGTGTTTGTCAGCTTGTTATTGGTAATGACCAATAGCAAGTAAGTTATGTAAGTATTTATATAAGCGCTTTTTTAACCTGAAAACATACCCTTATCTTGGTATATCCTTTCCCCAATGGCCAATTCAAATAATATAGGTATAGAAAAGAATTAAATAAATATAATTTTATTGGTTAGAATACATTGGTATATACTCTTTTTTAATCTAAAGTTTTACAGTCAGAACGAAGAGAAGCATTTTCAGTTTTCTTACATCAAGATGCAAAGTGCATAGAAAAGGCAAATTCAAGAATCCACACTTTCCTTTGTTGGTTAAAAAACAAAAAAAGAAAAGAATCCACACTTTCCTTTAATTCTGGAGATGGGCTTCGTATACGGAAATCCATTGGCATTTGGACATTTCCATTGGAGTTTCGCTTACGGGATCGGAATAGGAAATATGGAGAAAATATATATGTTTGAGTTATGAAAAAAAAAAACTCTAATCACTTTTTTATATTACCTTAATTATATGAAATTTTTATTTTAAAAATATTCAATTTAGTCTAATCATTTAACTCTGTTAGTAATATTTTAAAAAATTATAAACACATATTTTTAAATTAAAATTGATATTAAAACAAATTTTATTTACTAATTTAACCCTCACCCCAATAAATCTTAAATTACATTATTTTGATAATTACATCATTTTATTGTAAAAACATATTTACAAGTTTTAATTTTAATTTTAAATTATTTATAAATTCTCTCAAACTTATAATATTTTATGTTATGTGATAACAAATATATATGTTAGAAATATGTTTTTAAATTTTTAAAAAATATAAATAAATAAGTTTTAAAATTTGATAAAAATTGAAATAATAAAATTTTATAATATAATAAAAATCAAGAAATTTAATAATACAATAAAAAATAAAAAATGTATTTATTATACTCCCTTTGTTTAAAAATATGAGGTATTTTTAACTGAATCTTACCTTTCAATAAAGTAGTTACCTACTTTCAAACTAACTATATCTTTTCATATTAATACATATTAAATATTTTATAATAAATATAAAATCATTCATTAAGAGGAGCCTTTTTAAAAAACAATAATTACACTTTAAAAGATTAAAAATACATTATATTTTTTAACATCTAACTCCTTAAAAGAATCCTTACATTTTTGAATGGAGGAAGTATATTTTTTTAGTTCTATAAGAATATATTTTTTGAAAAATTTAAATTTTTAAATAATTCTTATGTTAAAGAGGGTGATTTTAATTAAATTAAAAGTTTAAAAATTAAATTTAGCTGCCAACTAATAGTTGAATCGATGAAAATATAATTTCAAATATATAAAGGCTTGTATAATATATATTTTAATTTTAGAGGGGTTTTTTTATGAGTTTTCAAAATAGGGGAAAAGTTTGTACAATTAAGGCGTAAAAGAAAGGTGGTTAATGTAAAGTATTTCACATTGGAGACAGAGAGGAGAGAGAATGAATGAATTTTAATCTAAATAACCTTTATAGTATTTATATTTACTATTTAATGTAATTGTGACGACTTTTTTGTTTCTTTTATGTTCTCAACTCAATACCGTTAAATAATTTAATTGCTGTCCCATTTCTGTCCATATATTGCTTTAAATAATTTGTTCATATATTTTTTCCGCTAGGCTGTGGTGGATACATAGAAATTTGGTTTGGTCGGTGGGATTACTTAGAAATTGAGAGGATGGGTTTACTTATTTTTTCCTTCCACGCTATCAATATTCAAATTGGAACAAATTTTTTTGTGGTTATATTTTAATTAATAAAGATTATTGTTGTCATTGTTTTATCTTAATCTCTAAGACCCTTAAACAGTTCGAACTACCATAAATAGAGAAGTTCATAAAAGTTATCTAATTCTCTTGTGTTTGGCCAAAAATATCTAATTCTCTTGTCAGTCACGCTGTTCAGAATTTGAGGCGTGTAAAGATATTATAAAAACTTATTGCGATTTTTTAAAGATATTTTTGGAGACAAAATATGACACTAAATAATATCCACGAATCGTTTTCAATAAAATGAATGGATGAACAACTTTGAATATAACAATGACAACAACAGTTACAAGCTGAAGGTTTTGGACCAGCAACTTGCCATCAACCGACGTACTATATAATAATGACATTTCATGCATATTGGCTGAAAAATCAATATTTTACATTTTAAAGAATTAATATTTTACATAACTCTATCTCTTGTGTCCCTCTACAATTGTCAGAGTAGATCTACAGACTACAGTGATTGCATAGCATGAATAAGAGATAAACACAAACGCTTAATTTTCTTTTTGGAAAAAAAAAATCCCGTGACAAAGAGGTTTCAACTTTGATTATAAGATTAAAAAAGTTGTTTATTATAAAAAAAACATGGGCAAAAATATAAGAATTAAATGACAATTTAACCTCTAAATGAAAACAAAAGTAATATTTATATTTTTTAATTTTAATAGGTTTTTAAAATACAAAGTAAAAAATTATAAAATAATTTCTACGAGGATGAAACAAATTATCAAATTGTCCTTAAAATTATTTATGCAATTCTATTTTATATCTTTGAAATGCTCTTATTTTTTTAAATAAAATTATTAGGAAAAACTCTGATCCACCGTCCACGTATTGTTTAGATATTATTTATTATTTATATTTGTAAAATCTAAATAAAAAATTAATTAATTAGTTGATACCCCACCGTCCATGCCATGACTCATGATGATATGACTGGGCGGTGCGTTAGGCGACGTCATGCCAAAGTCAAAGGAAAGATGCCCATGTGACTCGTGCTTAGTCCGGTGTCTGTTCCTATTTATTCATGGGATATAATTTTGGCAAATAATTTTTTTATATTTATCAGAAAAATTATAAAAGTATTTAATATTTTTTTCAATATAGTCCCATTAAATGAATGAAATCTTTCCTATAAAATGTTAGCAAATAAAGTTGGCAATCAATAAAGGTAAAGCTGAAAAATAGAAACAAGGTTGAGACATGAATTAATTTATTTAGTTTAATTGGTACGTGAGAATTAGGTAATTTTGTCCTCTAAATAAAAATAGAAAACAAGATTGAGATTATTTTATTTTTTAAAATGTAAATTTATAACCACATACTTTAGCCAAAAAAGTTATACCCCTTTCATTTAAAAATACAAGGTATTTTTTGAGAAATTAAATGTTAAAAAATATATGATATTTTTAGTCTTTCGAGATGTAATCATTGTTTTTTTTAAAGTACTCCGACTTTATATTTATTGTAGGATATTTAATAAGAGTAATTATAAAAGATAGAGTTAGTTTGAAGGTAGATAACTACTTTATTAGGAGTGAGATTCGGTTAAAAATTCTTTATATTTTTAAATGAAGGAGTAACTACATAGACATATACTTAAAAAATATAAATACATGGTGTTAAATGTTATAAAGTTTATTTATAATCGCTATTATGGTTATAACTAAACTATGAGAATATCTATTATTATTATTATTATTATTATTATTATTATTATTATTGACATTTCTTTCTTATTAAACTTAACGTGTTTTCAAGTGTCAGTAGTTATTATTTGCAGTTAAGAACTTCTTTCTTTTTCTTTTGAATTGTTAGAAAATTAAGTCAGAGAGACAAATTAATTCACTTGCACTTCATCATCATTTTAAAAAGTTGATTATTGACTCACACAAAGGGAGAAAAAGATTAATGGCGACAAGGGGGAAAAAAAACCATGTAATAGCCAGATCAAGTGGGAATGACTAAATTTGTATAGACAAGATCTTAGATTCAATCCTTATGGCTGGTTAAAATGATATTGGGACAGCTTTTTAATTCAAGATCAGTAATGTTTGAGTCTAAATTAGACAGATGCTAGATGATTGCTAAGAAGAAAATAATTTCAAATTCAAGTTATTATAAGTGTTTCCTGTTGGTATATGTTTTGACATCGATGTGTATAGCTCGTCAAATAAAAAGGTAGGCTTCAATTCTTAATCAGCCCACAATATTAAAATTTGATAATCGATAAAAATGAAAATTATATAAAATAAATATTAATTGTCAAATTGTACTGTATTTTGGAAATGCCTCATAATTTTAATTAATGACTAGTTACGTTGTTCCGCACTTCCAGTGTTAGCGTCACTTTCTTGCAAAATAGTCTTTCAAGAAACAATTAAAGAAAAGAAGGATAATCCATTTAAGTGTTGAAAACCACTACGTAGTAAAATATCTATATTTGAAAACTAAATAAATTTAAACTTTAGTAACTCAAATTAAATTTTATTAATCAATTATCCAAAAAAAAAACTTTTGTCTAATTTAAAAAAGAAAAGTTGCATCCCTCCCCAATTGTTGTGGTTCACTAAAAGATCTTATAGCCAAATAGTTATCAATGCCTTTTAATTTTCATCAGGATAGTTATCGATTTCTATAACGAAGATGTCAATCTTTAAAGATAAGCGTCGTTGTAATTTGTTATAATTAAGCCATCAATTCCAATAGGGTAATTATTAATGGAGTTATACAGTTGATAAAACGAAAACTTTTATTTCTTTGACTAATAAATCTCACAAGGATAATTAGAAGCATGTTTTGACGAAATTGTCCACTTCATAAGGGTAATTATAAAAGTAACTGTAATAAATATTTTGATGAAATTATCCACTTCATACAGGTAATTATCAGGCCTCGTTTGATATGATAGAAGAGTTTTTGATGGAGTTAAAATTAGAATTGAAATCAGAATCAAAATTATAATTGAAATTGAATTGAATTATAAAATTTTGTTTGATATGGGTGTGAAATCCTGATATAATTTTAATAATTATATGGATTTAAAATAACAAAAATACTGAAATGCCCCTTGTAAAAAAAAAGTCGCAACACACCTCTCCTCCCATTAGCAACGACTTCAACGTTCATTTGCAAATCTGCTTCAACAACTTCAACCCATATACAAGATTTTGATATAAATCACAAGATTTGGGAGATTTTTTTAGAACATAAACAATATTGGAGAAATTTTAGACTTGCAAGAGGCGTATCAACCCATCTCTTCCTCATCCTCAAGTCGCTGCAAATCTACTTCTGGAATGCCATAGAGGGAGAGGGAAAGGCGGGGAGAGGGAGGGAGGGGGAAGACGAAGATGTCATGGTTGGTGGCCAGTAGACAGGAGCCTCCACAACCTCGAGCACCTATAGATAAGCAACACCATCTTGGATGAGCTCTGCCATGACCAACAATGATCTCTTCTTCATCTTCAAGTCGTTGCAGATCTACTTCTCGAATGCCATGGGGGAAGAGGGGAAGAGAGAGAGAGGGAAAGGGGGAGAGAAGGAAGGGGAAGAGGGAGATGTCATGGGCAGTGGCCAGTGGATAGGAGCCTCCATGAGCTCTAGCACCTGCAGATGAGCAATGCCGTCTTGGGTGAGCACTGCCATGACCGACGATGACACCTGGCTCGATGGGTTGAGCCTTGTCCATGACCATGTCATCCGCAAGATAAAGCACAAGATCAATCGAGTGTTGCAGGTCACTTGCAACTCCTTCTATATGATCGACAATAGAAAATGGGAGCAGATAATGAGGAGGGTAGAGACGTCTCAAAACAACAATTATGTGAAATTGAACTGATTCCATGGTGACGAAGATGGAATTGGATTCCAATAATTTTACTGGAATTGCAATTCTTAAGAATCTCAATCCTAGACTACCAAACACTCTCAAACTTAGATTCCATTTCCATTTCCATTTCTAAATTCATGATTCATAGATACCAAACGAGGCCTCAAAGTAATGGTAAATTTATTGTGATAATTGCCCTTTTTTTATAGGTAATTGTCAACTTGCCAGGGATGTTCTAAAGGGAAAAAACAAAATAAGGATTAATTACGTATAATTATAAAATTTTAAGTACTTAATTGGTGAACTTTAAATTTCATGAATGAAATTGATAACTATGACAAACAGAAAGTTTTGCTTAAAAAAAAAAGGCAAACATAAAGGTTCAAGAACTTTATTATACCATAAAGAGATAACACATGCAAGTGGAAGAGAAAGGAAAGAAATTGAAAAGAAATGCATTGTTAAGAGAGACAAAGGAGAAAGTCAAAAGTGTAAAAATGAGGCAGTAATTTTACTCTGATATAATCCCTCAAGGCACAAGCCTCATCTCACCATGTTAAAAAAAAAAAAAAATGAATACAACGTAGGTCCGCTCTTGCAACTTGCTATGACAAAATTGTTAATTTTATTTTTGTCAATTGAAAAACTACATTGACAATTATCATATATTAAATTAAACAAAACATTAGTAACACATCAATATATAAGATCTTTTAGCAGTGAATCAAATGTAGCCACGAGTTTATATCCCATCTTGGTCATGTAGGAGCATTTCTAGCTTGATCATGGCTCTAACATTGTTCATGACAAAAGTTTTATCATGTATTTGCATTTTAAAACCATTTATTTATTGCTATTGTTAATAATAAGATCAAAATCAAAGGGAGAAATGAAGAATTGAAAGACATTCTTGTAAACATAACGTATTTGAGAATACAGAATCAAGATATGCATTCTTTGAATTCCATTAACAAATGAACATTGAACTTGATATATTCTTAAAATTCATCAATGAATGAATATTAAATCAAGAGATCCATTCTTTGAACTAAAAAGTCCAATAAGTCATTTGAGTTCATTAATAAATGAAAATACACAACTACTATTAATTAAAAGGTGTCAATAGGTTTATAAATAGACCCTAAAAAAGTTGATTAATTGAAACATTTTCAAAGGTTTTCTATCTCTCTCCTCTTCTCAAATCTGGCCTCAATCGGGAAGTGAGTTCATGTCGAAATCTTTCATCCGCTCATCATTTGCTTCCAATAAGGTACGCATTTCATCATTTTTGTTCTAACACTTTCAAAGATAATGACATCAATTTATATCATTTACTTGGAAAACAAAACGAGTAAGGAGCCATGCATGATGATCAACAATACAATTCATTTTAAGTTTGGCATCCCAATTTTACAAGATTCATCATACATACATACATACATATATTTAACAAAATTATCCAACTGCTTGCTGAAGAATGAAAAAAGAACTTTAAAAAACATGAAATATAAGCAGCCACACGCACGTACACACTTCACAAGGAAAGGTTTTGGTACCATCATGACAACACGTCATTAGTAGCAGCAATATATATTTAGCATATATGCTAAAAAATAACTTACCAAGAACAAATTAATATTCATCACAAAAAAGTTATTTCTAATTGTTCCAATATTTATAAGCGCGCCCATATTATAAAAATATTATTTCTACACAAATTAAATTCTGATAGCATTTCCTTGTAAGCATAAAAAATAAATTTTAAAAATTGTATTATTTATAGCGGAGATACAATTTTCACTCCCTATTATAAAGTAGAACCAAGACTTTTTATATTATTTGTTATAATTTAGTTATATAATTTACATTTTAATATTTATAACACAACAATCATAGAAAAATCGCATAAATAAACGGCTGATGTTGCAAGTTGGCAACGCACGGGACACATGAGTTAGTACTAACGATAATAATAATAATTAATAAAAATTAGTTTGGTTGATAAAAATTTGACTCATAAATTATCAAGCTGTGGGATCAAAACTCACATAAAATTTTTAGACTAAAAAATAATAATATTAAACTGAGTTTTTTAAATAAAAATTAATTCTAATAACTTTTGAAGCCCAATTCACATAATTTTTTTGGCATAAAAAATAGCAAGAATTACATTCAATAACCACTTAAAAAAGTTATTTATAAACAAGAATTAATATAAAATAAATTATTGTTAAAATGAGAATATAATTTATATTTTTAAATGAGATTTGTTATTAATTTTTATTTATAAATAATTTTTTAAAATAATTTTTAGATGTGATTCTCCTTTAAAAATAATAACACTAAACTGAGTTTTTTATAAAAAAATTATTAAACTGAGTTAGTGGTGCAGAGAGTTTCAACTCCAGCCACATTCAAAATATAATAATGTGCATGGAAGTTTGTTTTGTGCGAGGGAGGACTGGATGTCACTACTAATCACACCAAACAAATCCTGCCACAGAATTAACATTTTTTTTTTAAAAATTCAAATAGCACCAGCAGTATTTAATTTAATTTGTTCAAATTTTTTTGAACAAGATTTAACTTGTTCATAAAAAAATCAGCCATTTTCTGTCCCCTCTTCCCAATTTTCCTTCTATATGTGGTCGTTGGGATCTCTCTCTGTCTCTCTCGCCTCTGCGTTCAGATCCTATCAAGTGCGGAGTTTCTGCTTTCACTCCAACCCTGACTTGTCCCTCAGCTCATGTTTCACTATATTGAGACCCGATCTCGGAGCCTTATCAATCTCGACTCGTTCGGTAATCGCTCGTTTTGTTTCTGAATTCATGTTGATTTGAAGCTTGAGTTCGATCTTCGATCTGGGGTTTTCAGTTGGTGTATGAGAGAGGAGTTTGCTGGTGATTGGTGTATGTGCGGTTTCAAGCGGAGCGCGGTGAGGGATTCTGGGCTTGTGATTCGAAGTAGGTCAAGGTGGGGTGAATGCGGCTAGTTTTACTCTGAAAACTTTGCCTGCTGCTTGATCTATCTCCGGAAAGATTATAAAGATTGTGTGCAAGAAGAGAAGGGAAATTGTGAAAAGAAGACCTTGAACAAGATGCAGCAAGATCAGCTCAAGAAGGTTGTTCCTTACTCCAATTAACGACTGCCTTTCTCTGAGTAGGCTTTGTTACTGTGCTATAAACTAACAAAATTCTGGGAATGATTACATGAAGTCGAAATTTGGGCCTGGAAGTTAAAGGAAAGAAATTATGTGTGTTTGTGAAAAACGAAGGATGGCAGGGTTTTTGATGTAAAGAAGTTCCTTTCTTTGGTTATCCCAGTTCTTGAACATGTTTTGGCCTCAAATAAAGTTCTTGAATATGCAATATGCTGTGGAAGATTCTCTGCTCCTGACTTTCCGTTGCCAATGGCTCTTATCGTAATTTTATCTTATGGTTTCAAATTTTCATTGGGGCTGCCGACAGATTGATTTATTTCCAGGACAAATTTGTTAACTAGAATTTAAAAGCGTAGATTGATTTTTGCCTTTTGACTTCGAAGTTCAAATCATATTGTTTTGGGAACAACTATTGCCTTGTCCGCTGCTTTGTTAAATTAGAAAAAATTGGTTAAGCCTTACTCGTACTTGGAATTTGGTTTGGTTTATTTAAACCGTAGTTTTCCAGGTAACTTAACTTTAGTTCCATTCATTGGTAATTAGTAATATGGAACATACAATTTTACAAGTTCTATAATATTGATGTACAGGATGGTAAAGAGTTGGACTTTTTCACTGAGTGCGGGGATGCAAATAGATACAAGATTCTTGAAGTAATAGGTAAGGGCAGCTATGGAGTAGTTTGTGCAGCAATTGACACGCACACTGGGGAAAAGGTTGCAATAAAAAAGATTCATGATATTTTTGAGCATATCTCTGATGCCATTAGAATTCTCCGTGAGGTCAAGCTGCTACGGCTTTTAAGACACCCTGATATTGTTGAGATTAAGCGCATTATGTTGCCACCTTCAAAGAGGGAGTTCAAAGATATTTATGTTGTCTTTGAACTGATGGAGTCTGATCTCCATCAAGTCATCAAAGCTAATGATGACTTGACACGTGAGCACCATCAGTTTTTTCTTTACCAGATGCTACGTGCACTGAAGTATATGCATACAGGTATCAGTTTCTCTGATATTCTCTTTCATTTGTTTGGCCTTTTATATGTATTTTTGCTGCTCGTTGCATTCTTTTCACACAATATGCCAGCTGTACCTTGGAATTGACCGTTTCAGCACTTCTAAGCTCTAAACGAACTTACATTTAATTGCAGCAAATGTGTATCACAGAGACCTTAAACCCAAGAATATATTGGCAAATGCAAATTGTAAACTCAAAGTCTGTGATTTTGGACTGGCCAGAGTTGCATTCAATGATGCCCCGACAACAATATTTTGGACGGTATGTAGTTTGATTTACTTCAAATTGGCAAATAGAGCAGATAGAAGTTATAACTGTTTTATATAGTTTATCAGGTCCGGTGTGGTTTATCATAGCTTGCTTTGGGTACATCTTGCAGGATTATGTAGCTACAAGATGGTACAGAGCTCCAGAGTTGTGTGGATCATTCTTTTCAAAGGTATAGTTTGGCTAAAATTTGTATTCTTGAGAACCCTATGACTTAGGTCTTTGACGGTCTATCCGCTATGTGGCCATCTGTGCAGTTTAAAAAGTGGCATGTCCATATTGGATGTCCAGCTGTGGATCATAAAAGATTATCTAATTGTAAGCAAGGCATCCTCTTACATTTTGCCAAGAAATTTTTGTAGGACCTGACCCCTGTACTGTAGGCACATAGGCGGAGGAAATTAGGCTTGAGCAAGCAACAATCATAGAATTGTGGAAGTTGACTGTTGATATGATTTTTAATAAGTCAGCACTATGGTATCTCTTTTTTGTTGATTTTTCTTTCCAGCATGTTACAAGGCCAGTGTCACTGAACCCAAAAAGGAGGTGTGATTGTGAAAATAAGTGTTGCTTGCTTGACTTGACTTTAATTTCTGTATAAAACACGGTCTGTATGATTTATAGTAAACAATAATGCCTAGATTATAATAATTCTTGTTCAGGGAGGACTATTGATCTCTCCTGCAAGTTGAGTTATCTGTCCTTCAGGTAAACGTGTCAGGTTATGTCTATTCCTCTGGAGTGGTTTGGTTGCAATGTGTAGTTGTCCTTCTTTCATAGTCTGATTTTGATAGCATTGTGTTTGCAGTATACAGCAGCAATTGATATATGGAGCATTGGATGCATCTTTGCTGAGGTGCTGACAGGAAAGCCGTTGTTCCCTGGTAAAAGCGTTGTACATCAATTAGATTTGATTACAGATCTTCTCGGGACACCATCACCGGAAACTATCACTGGAGTATGGAGTACTTTCTTCCTGTCTTTCTCGATCATTTCTTCTTCTTTTTTTACCATGTTTCCCTCATTCAAAACTGCACGCTAATATAGGGAGTTTTTAAAACTTGTATCTAATTTTGCAGGTTCGTAATGAGAAGGCAAGAAAGTACTTGACAGAAATGAGGAAAAAATCTCCTGTCCCATTTGAACAGAAATTTCCAAATGCCGATCCATCCGCACTTTGCCTTTTGCAAAGGCTTCTGGCGTTTGATCCTAAGGATCGGCCTACTGCTGAAGAGGTATCTGTTCATCTATCACATATTTGGTCATATTTTAGCCCTTGGGTCTTGAATGAAAAGAAGTTTTTCGTTTCAATATGTATCTACAGGAACTGATTTTTCTATGGTTGGTAGGCACTAGCTGATCCTTACTTTAAGGGATTGGCCAGAGTTGAGAGAGAACCATCTTGTCAGCCAATTTCAAAGCTGGAATTTGAGTTTGAGAGGCGAAGGGTGACTAAGGAGGACGTGAGGGAACTGATATATAGGGAGATACTGGAATACCATCCTCAGTTGCTTAAAGATTACTTGAATGGAACTGAAAGCACAAATTTCCTCTGTCCTAGGTTCAAAATATGTTTTTTGCAGATTGTACATTATGCTTGCTGTCTTTTTTTATTGGTTTAATATAATTTCATAGCTAATTGTGTGTGTTCCTAACATATAATTTACCAACATATACTACATTGCAGCGCAATTGGTCAATTCAGAAAGCAATTTGCTTATTTTGAGGAAAACAGTGTTAAAAGTGGTCCAGTGATTCCTCCAGAAAGGAAGCATGTCTCCCTTCCAAGGTAAGAGAGACATACACTTATCTCGGATCATTATATCTGGCTTCCGTTCGTATGTCTACGTGTTTAGTCTGGTAGTATGTATTGAGTAAAAATTTTCTGTTTGAAGGTCCACTGTTTACTCTAGACCTATTCCTCCTTATGCACATGGCGCGGCATATGAGAACAAGCAAATACCAGTAGAGGCATCTAAGAATTTGGGAGCAACGGAGTCAAATTCTGAAACTCATTTAAGGGATTCACGACCTCCTCCAAGGGTGCCAACAGGTATAAATTATATATAAATGATGCGACGATTATCTCTTTAGTCACATTTAAATCTTTTGACTTAACAACTGAGGTTTAGCTCGGTGGTACGATTGTCTCCGAGGCTGAAGTATTTGAGTTTGAATCGTAGAGCCAAATTAACCAAAAAGCAAATACTTGGGAGGATAATTTTAGACCCCTTATTCAAGTGAAAATTAAAACAAAATGAGAACATTAGATTATGACATAGCCTTCTTAAAGAGCCATGGGTTGAGTTTCGTTATCATCCAACAAGTCAAACTATGGTGCTGGTGGTTATGATATAATTGCCTTGGAGGATCAGAAGATCATTTTCATTTTATCTGTTAGGGGGTCATGATTTTGTTTATTGACGGAGCCTGTTGTATTATAGTTACGTAATTTAAAGCCCAGTGAGAACTGTTTTTCCCACTTCTAGCCTGTCTGCAATCTGCATATAAATGTTAACTGTGTTAACTGTTTTTCTCTCCTCTCACAGCCAAACCAGGCAAAGTTGCAGGGCCAGTTTTACCCTATGAGAATGGGAGAAATATGAAAAACAACTATGATTCAAGAATCTTGAGCAGAAATGGTCTTTCTCCTTCTGCGTCTCCTCAGTGTTCCTATAGGGCCCAACCCACAAACCCGGAGAAGCTTGTGCCACAAGGAAAACACCCATCTCAGCAGTGGGGTAACTCACTAGGCAGACAAACTATTGACCTCAACACCAACCCTTACTTCCAACAAGCCAAGGTAGATAACATGGATGATGCTGTCACCTCAATGGATGCTAAGTTGCTGCAGGCACGGTCTCAGTTTGGCGCTGTTGGTGCTGCTGCGGTGGCCATTGCAGCTCATAGGCATCCTTCTGGGGCTTTTTAGTGTGGGTTGTCATAGGTAGGTTTTAAGGGCTTTAATGCCAGTAGTTGGAACTTGGAAGGAAGAAGGGTGATTAAATTTTAGACGGGTTTAGGTTTGGTTTTCACTTTTTACTTCCAGATTACGGTATTTGTAAATTATATTGTTACGTCATTTCATTGTTCAATAAAGACTTGGCGGGAAATCATTCCTTACCCCCCTATATCTTGATTCAAGCTATCTATGATATGAATGTTCTTTTTGTTTGTATTCCATCACTTGATATCTTAGGAAACCTGGACGTATTATTACCTCCCACCAAGCTATGATATAAATGTTCTATAGATGTTAAATTTGATCACTATATTGAACCCATCACTCTTTTTGGGAAATTTAATTATAAGAATTCTCAACAGTTTAAGATTAAACTGTTGACATGTTTTTCCTGCAGAAAACACTTTCTTCCCTGACTCACCAGCACCTCCATAGAATCTGTGTATTGACTCTAAGGAATAAATAATAATCAAGTCATCCTTGACAATATTTAATGATAAAGTAGATAGATGCAATCTCTGAAATGTTGCAAAGGCCATGTTATAAAGAGGGGGGGGGGGGGGGGGAGGAACTCCGACTGTTGCAAGCTTTTAATTCAACAATGTTTACTAATCTCCTCTCAAGGTTTTGAATCGTGGGAATTCAGAATTCAATAAGCATGCTTTGGAATGATGATATCAAAATTGCTGACAGTCCATTCTGCTATTTGGCCATCATCACTGATATAGATTTCAGTCCCCAAGTCAATCGATGGCCAGTGTCTCTCCACAGGTCTAGTACCTGGATCCTGCATTGCATACGCAAATCTTAATTCTAAGTTCTGTGGGGGAAAATGAATAAAGTTCGTTCATTTTGATTTTCAACTTACTTGATAGAAATGAAGTGACTCTGAGAGCCTCCCAACATCAAGCTCCCAAGTTCTCGGGTCCCCAACCCACCCTTCGCCTTTCTTGGTCGGGTACCCGTATTCGCCCCAAACCGGGTGGGGCAAAATCTGCAGAATCTCTTGTGGCTGAGGGTTGCTATACGGGTCACAAGTATTTACGGGTTGCTCCAAGTACTTGGCGTTGCCAGGAGCACAGTACACGTGGTACGCGTCGTAGGGGAAGCGGGCGGTGTCGTTCCGGTGAACCCGAGTGCCGTTTGCGAAGGTGTGATACGGTGGACATTGGTCGAGCCTGGTTGGCTTGCACCAAGCTTCAGTCTCGGGGTTGATGATCATCTCACTGTAACGAGTGACGTCAGAGGTGACGTCACCGTTGCAGGGAAGGCCATCGTTCTTCCAACAGCTTCCCATGTCCATGAGGTAGAATTGGCTCTTTGGACCACCTCCTCGCTTGATGTCAAGTGTGAACCTTACGTTGAAATGTGGTGACTTTGGTACCTATCAAGTTTTGCATGGAAATCCAGAATCAAGTCTATAATTTCCACATTAAAAAAAAAAATTACAAGGCCATGACATAAAAGATTTCGTGTAATGTGCTCGATAAAAGCAAGCCAATTAGTATAGACAATCAAGTTACGCATCATCAAATCTATGATCTCTTCGATGGTGTCAGAAGAAGGATGGTTCAAGATGTGGTGATTGTGAATCAGTCTAGAAACCTCTGTCAAATCACTATAGATAATAATTGTCACAAATTTCATGAGATGGTTTCTAAAATATGTACTATTCTAGTATTCTTCCTTTTTATCTGACAATTATCTACTATCTGATCATCTTGATTTGGTCAAGTATTGTTGGACCTCAACATGCTGTATCAACTAGTAATCTGCTTTCCTCATAAGGCTCAGATTAGTACTAGTATTAGTATTAATTTTATATTCAAAGTGCTTCATATTCCTTGATATTTGTGGAAGCAAAATGGCAAAAGGAACTTACAATTTTGGACATGCCTCTTGTTGGATAATGGTAGCCACCAGAGAAACCAGAGGTAGCATCTGATCTGAGATAGAGCATGAGCCATGGATACTTGGATGAAGTCTTCAACAAATGGTGGAACACCCAACTTGCCTTGCCCACTGGCTTCTCCCAAGTTACAGAGTAATAGGAAGTATCATTCATATGAACTGCTTTTTCCACATCATGCGGATCAATGTCCAGATCCCATGAGCCATAGAAACTTCCCTTCATGATCATGCCATGATCAGTCTGATTCTGATGATACACGGTGGTGTAATTATGGTGCATTGAAGGCATGTTCATGCAGCCTTTTCCAAAGCAAGGAAACCTATTGGTCTGGTTGAAAGGCTTTGCCTTTTTGCCATCTTCTGGGCATATGGCAGCTAAAGTGTCCATATTGCCACTCTTGAGCATGATCATCCAGAACTGCCACGGCCTCGGAAAGTCTATTACTTGACAGTTTTGACCCAAGTATATCTCTTTCCATGCTGCAAAGTGGTCTGCACTTTTGTTTGTCATTGGGTAGTGAGTGTTGGATATGCCTAGCTTGTTCTGCCATTCTTGCACCTTGTGAGCCAGCTTGATATCCCCTGATTTTAATGGATAAAGATTTCATATTCAGAAAATTAAAATTGCCACTTCAATGCAGTATAGCTTATATGGAATTGTGGAAGATGGGATTTATTTGGATGGGATTCATTTAAAATTTGGAATGAAAGAAGGGAAATACATGCAATATTAAATATAAAGTTCTTGATTTTTTTTCATTATCCTCTCTCTCTCTCTCTCTAAGAGAATGATATATTACTAAAAGATGAACCTTTGAAACAAAACTAAAAGATGAACTTAATCGGGGCATGAAAGTCTTAATCTTCTTTAATTTTTCTTTTTGTTAAAACTCACATTCAGAGATTTTTCAGAGCATTAATTTTTTTTATTTTTTAAGCATGTTAAGGTATTAAAGTTTTAAATGTCCTTGAATTTTAGTCAGAATCATGTCCAATAAAAAAAGGTTAGTGAAAGAGACGGCCAGAAAATTAACCAAGTACGTTTTGAAGGTAAACTAATGGCACAATGCAATAAGTAATAGCCAATCAAAATGCATGATTCTTTTTTAAGTAGATGCAGTATAAAAATTAAAAGAAAATGAAAAGTTACCAAAATAATTGACATCAAAGCAATCAGCCATTCTGGGGCTTCCCATGTTGGGAGCTTCTTCTCCAACCTCATTGCATTGATTCCAGGACTCAATGGCAACTCTGAGGCCATCTCTTGTCATTCCAGGATCACCAACTGCTGATATATAGTCACCATTATAATTCCCAGAAACTGCTTCAAACAATGTTAATGCTGCTATCAAACCCCACCAAAACTTCACTTTCTCCATCATTATTAGAGTTTCTGGATGCAAGGATTCAAACAATTTGCATGTGTGTGTGTGTGTGTGTGTGTGTGTATTTGAATGCAAGGGGCAAGCTTAAAGCTTGAGAAGAATCTGCATATATTTATATATACAGATTTGATGCTGGAGCAATCAATGTAAATTTAATATTTTTCTGTTTTTTTATTCAATTACGGCCAGAAATAGCAATCCTGTCAAGATTTGTCGTTTGGAACTTTTGATGTAAATCTCAGTTTTTCTTTCCTTTTTCTTTTCAGCGGGGTAGTTTAGGTTTAATTCTTATTCAGTTAAATTTCTTAATGAAATATTCGTTTTTTTCCCCTGCTTCTCATCGCATTCTGCGGATACTTACCTGGAAGATATAAAGAATCACTCTATATATAGATTCTCTTAAATTCTGTTTTTAATTTCAGTTCAAATAAATCTTTAAAATTTTGATCTTTTTAGATTTGATCCTTATCCTATTTTTCCTGGCTTTATGAAATCTAATTGGCACATTAAACACCTAAAATGCATGGCATGATTCCTCAAAGGTTGGATTCTCACCAAAATAGAATTATTTAAGTTTTTGATTTGTTAAAAATGTATATCATAAAATCAAAATATCTTATTAATACAAAATAAACATTTCTAAAAAAATTTAAAACAAAATCAAAGTATTAAAATTGAATATAAGTATGTAAACATTTAATAGAATGAAGATCGTAATTATCTTGATGTACAAAAAATATGAATGATTATTCTTATACTATGTTTTAAAAATACTATTTGGAATCCGTACCATCAGATTAGATTGAAGTACTATATTATATTGTGATCAATTGAGGATTACTCTTCCAAAATGATTTTCTACCTTTTTTTTCCAACATTGAAGATTTTTTATATCCTGATATACGTTACAAGTATCACTTCAATTCCAAAAACGAAAATTATATAATTTTGACAAAGAATGTTAGTTTATTTCGTTATGCTTAGCAATATTGTGATCAATTAAATTAATTTGATATAATTCTTCTTTTACCTCGCGATCAATTAATTTGATATAATTCTAAACGCCTGATGAACTGGAAGCGTGAAGCCTGAGGAATATTCATAGTACTCGTGAAAATGAAAATTTTGAATATTCATCGTACCTCTTAAGCACATTCTGGGTTATAGTTACATATCTTGAGCACCAAACCTATATAATATATTTCACATGCATTCACTAATTGTTCTTTTTTACTTGGTATAGCTTCTCATGCAAATCGAGCGAATGACATGTTGATTCTCAAGTATGCATGCTTTTGTATGTATTTTTCATGATATTTAATTGGTTTTATAGTACATTAATTTAGAAAAATAAATTACTTTTGGTCCTATTCGGTTAAAAAGAAAGCTACTAAACTTTGAAAGTGTTTATACTTGTATGATTAGGGTCAGAATCGACATTCACAAATGTTGAGCCAACAATGGAGGTTATCAATCATTCTAAAGCCCTCTCCCAACATTGAAAATTATCAATCTTTCTCCAACTGTACTCATGGGATATTACAGAACGACCCTTGTAATACTTTTACAAAGCAACCAAGCATCATAAGCAGTACTTGTAGCCTCAATAACACTTGACCTGACTTCTCCTTGTGCTCTTTTTTAAGACAATGACATAATGTGATCCATGAAATTCCCAGAGTAGCTTGTGGTTTTTTCTCAGAAGGTTGTCTTGATAACCAGTTTTTTTCCCCCCTGGGCCTTTGTAGGAAAACCTCATCAAATGGACACCGGATATAACTTAATGGGTCTTGTATCCTGAAAATATGAAACAAATTCAGAAATTAAACTACAAACGTTCAAATCGCAGATCCACAACAGAATTCAAAAAATAATACTGATGATCATAACAATGAGTCTTCTAAACCAAGCATTACCATTGACATTGAGCATTTCAATCACTGCATCTTCCTAGCAACACCTGAGTCAAACAGCTTCATTTCCAACAATCATCCATGGTAGCAATTTTCCTGGCGAAACAGGTCCGTAAAGTAATTAGCCCTCGATCCTAAACAATCACTGACATTTCGCAAAGATCAGATAATCCCCATCCAACGTCATTTCTAAGTCCGAATTACAAATTCAGAACTATAAGGTTATATCAGGCAAAAAGACATTAGCTATCTACAGTAATCAAAATCAGGATTTCACATCAACACGAGAGGCATCTACAAGCGAATTAGTTGTTAATTTGAAATTACTATTATCTTTCAAAACACACATCACAAATAATTTTTTAAATGAGAAGACAATTTCAATGGTTAGAAGTAAAGAAAGGTAGAGAATATCTGAAAAGATGCAACTATCCGAAAACATATAATTTTTCTGTTTTTTTTTTTTTTAGGAGAAGCAAAAGGAACGTGTTGAGAAATGATAAACATGGAAAGCAAATCAGTGAAAGTACCTGAGTACCTGACAATGTTCAAAAGTGACTCATAAGGAGAGCAGCAGCAACAGATAGTTCACAGGTTCCAATGGCCATAACCCTTAAAGAAAAATCATTCAACTGTCACAATAAAGCACACTCTAAGAAACAGGAAAAGGATCACATAATTCTAGAACAAAACAGGCAGTCAGGCGGATAGAAACTAAAATAAAAGCAGGCTGAATGGGCTTTCATAACCAAAAACTTCTAAATATACAATGTCAGGAAACAAATGCTCTGAACGTGCCACAAAAGTTTGAATAGCAGTTAAGCTGCTATGATGTGTAGTCATCATCTATAGATCAGTAAAACACATGCTCTTCAGGACATAAGTTTGAATAGCAGTTAAGCTGCTACTGCTATAATATTTAGATCAGGAAAGCGTGTCATTCAAGGTGAATAGACTTAGTAGCAGCTAAGTTTCTATAATATGAAGATCTCACATATAGATCGGGCAGAGCAGATGGATTTGTAAGAGAAGATGAAAGAAGACATTTCATTGAACTACAGCACATACAACAATGCAGATAACTTGGCGAGCAACACTTGCTCATAGCTTCTCAGTAACTGCCATGACTGACAACAGAACTGACAAGGCTTTTTCATAACAATCATTCCAAGAACTTTATTTATTTCTTCTTTCCTAGTTAGGTGGCAAGGCCAGTACTCAGCAGCAAAACAGGACAAAAAAAAACAAGGTTAGCAAATTGTCATGCCTTAAACAAATTAGCAAAGATCACTTACCGCACTCATGAACCTACTGTTATAATTAACAAGATATCCTGGCCGAGATCTGGAATTTGGATAAGAGATCAAGGTCACACCTCTGAATAATCAACTTGTTATATTATGGGGAAAAAATTCATTGTCAACTACTTCAATCTTAATTAGTAAACATCAATTAAAAATCCTTGCCAAGAGATATGGAATTTGGAGAAGAAATTAACGTGACCTCTAAACAATCACTACAAACTTGAACAATCAAAAGCTCCCCTTCAGCGCATCAATTGATCTACTCACAAGTTACAACAGATCCAACTACACGTCTGGACATCACATAAACCTTCATTATGATAGGTAAACTTGTCAATCCCAGCTTTAAAGCCCACAAACACTAACAAATTATACACAGACCATTGCTTAGATAGAGCAAATGAGAAGAGAAAGCAACGAGCGGTCAATCAAGAAAACAGATTCAACTGACACCAAATAATAAGAAACAGAGTGGAACACCCAATAAAATCAGAAATTCAGACCTAGAACCGACAAGAGCTACTATCTCATTCATCATTATGAGCAGTTTCCTACCGGGCTAAAAAGAAAACGAATGGACAGGTGCGATTGTTACATTCATTGCTATGCAAAGGAGGGAATGGAAAAGGAAAACAATCAAAAGAATTTACCATTTGAAAAAGCTGCATAACTTACTCAACTAAGAACCACATTCGGCTGCTCCAGTGTTGAATGTATCTTTCCAGTAACAGCGTCATGCTACAAATATGCTTGGCTGCTTCAGAAATGGAAAAAAACTTCCCAATAGAACATAATACTCCTTCAATGCAGCCTCACACCAAACTCGTGAAGGAGAGAGAGAATTGTACTTTACAACTAAAAACCCAACAATTGGAAATTTTCTTCCAATAATTTCACATCAATGTCTTGCCAGTTTATCTAGACCCAAATTGGTAAAACAACTCCTAGACTAGTCTGAGATAAGAAACATGAGGCATATCCACGGATACAAATTAGATTTACTCAGCTTCTGGAAACTCTAACTTCAGAATAAAATGAGAGAAGCTAAGAGAAAATGGGCTCTACCACAGAACAGAAAAGACAGGCTTACAGTGGGCAGAAAAACCACTCAAGGTGTTCTTCAGTTCCAAGATTGCCACAGGAAAAGATAAGAAATTAGCCTGCAATTCGATGTATAGCTTCCACAATCTGGAACTAGAGCAGCTAACTGGGCTTAATAATACCTAGTAGAAAATGTGGATTTGCCACAATTGCCAGGTCACTCATCATAAATAATTAGCTGAAAGAAATCAAAGAATAAAATTGGTTTTGTAAATAAAAATGATCCTAAGGAAGGGAACGTATTTACTTGGTAAAAAGGCACACATTTTAAGAAAGAAAATTTTATTGGTTGATAATAACATGAATATCAAACTTGACAGCTATAATGCTTGAAAGATTCTTGGGAAATACTGAGTTTGTAACGTTAAAGAATATTCAAGTGTTCAACTGATAATTTAATGGCCTGTGCAGAACATTTGATCTTTTAAAAGGGCTATGCAAATCATTGTAGTAAAGGTAGAGTTCTCTGAATACGTGACCCCTAAGGAAAGGGGGAGGGGAGTGCCACACAAAAAGATTAATAAAATAAAGCGCCAAGGAAAATCTCACCTCAAAGATGTTGCCATATATTAAGGCTCCTCCCAATTCTCTTAAAAAAAGGCTTTATAAGGAGGGGGTAGGAGGCAGCAGTAGCACATATTTCAAAATTGTAAACTTCCAACAAAAGAGGCATTTCTCAAAAATTTAAATTCAGACACACATTTGGATTACACGAGCAAGCTAACAGCTTGAGATAATGAGCAGAATCAAACCCATGACGCCCCACTTATAGAGGAGTTTCTGCCATGCCACTATGCCACAAGGGCATTGGTAACTCAACAGCAGTTTACATTCAGCAGACCCTTCTCTATGTGACAGTACAACAAAATATCAAGCTACAATTTTAAGCAGGTAACTTGATGAGCAGGCCCTACACAGATTGCACACCTTCAATACAATTCAACAGACACAGACCTTTTAGTTCTTTCCTTTCCTTCCAGGAAACCAATATTTACATAAAATCTAACGCTGGAGATTCACAACTATGACCCTGAGTAACCTTATATTCCCACACTAACACATAAACAACATATGCAGAAGGTTTATTTAAAAGAGGATAGAGAACCAAACGCTAAATTAGGAGTATGATATCAACTAAGACGAGATAGCACAGGGCAATCTAGATCCTCTACAATTACAAAAGTGAATATATAATGTTTTCAAGGAGACACTGAAAATAAAAAGACTACAGATGTAAAATGAGAAGTGGAACTCATATACAGTCATATCCTGCGTTACTCTCTTCTCCAACACATGAATACATGAACGTAGAAGATCCAGTTTGAGCATAAGCTCAATGGAGCTAAGCAATCCATTCACAAAGACTAATAGAATCCTCCTAAAGAAACCATGGCTTCATTGAATTGTAATTTAAAAATTATTTCTTGGGCCAGGTAATAATTATTCAATTTTGATTTGAAGCAGTTTGATCCATTCAATAATAGTTTAATTGTTGCTTTTCCGTTCAATAACATCACAATTTATTTTCTCATTCACTCATTGTACATTTTTTATCTATTTTTTTCTACATTATTTATCTATCGATCAATGACCTGGAACATAATTTCATTATTTTTTTAACTAACTTAGCTCAATAAATCCACCATTTCTTTCTTCAAATGATAATTTCTGAATCAACACCAACAAATAGGTTTCACTTCATTCTTATTTTTTTTCTATTAACTACACTAAATTAAATCAGATTAGATTCCCTAAAAAGTATGAGGAGAGTGGTTTACCTTTATGACCTCAAGATATATCAGAAGACAAAATGAGAACATAATAAGACGCCCAACACAAACAGACAACAGCAAGAAAATCAAGACCACAAAACCAGAAACACAAAAAAGCACAAGCCAACAACCATATATGGAGGCCTGGAAAACTATCACTTAAAAGTGTATTGGCTAAGGAGGTCGGGAAATTGTGATAGATATCAAATAAACACAGACACACACATAAAGCAGGAGCAAAAGACTTGAACTCCACCTGATAATCCTTTCCTTAAAATGGCAGTAGTAGTTGTTCACTAAAGAGTACGTAAAATTTCCCAGAAACAAGTTACCAAATCAAAAGAAGGAAAAATTAGTTCAGAACATGCATTAAACATGTCCTTCTAAGTCAGACTGCACAAACCCAGCTTAAAATGAAGAGGGGAAACAAATATCTAGGTCTTCTCTGACTATTGGAATAGCACAAACAATTCAGATAGAAACAAATATGCGCAGTTGTTCTAACAGTTGTGGCCACAATGCTCACTCATTTTGAATCATGCAAGCAACCTGTATTGTTGACTGCCTTGTCAGAATGAACTATAAAATTCAGATCATAAACCATGCAATTATAATACCACTGATTTCAACATAGTTCAAAAGATATAAAGACATTTAAATACTTGTATGTGTCAACATATTGTATTTATATGCTTTTAAATATATAGTCTATGAGCTTGTACTTATATTTTGAGCTTCGCTATAAAGTAGTCATCTCCCTCTATAATAAATTCTATCTCGCCATCTATTTCCTCCTATTCACCATATGCTAGAATTAGTGTTGGCCAGTACACAGCATTGGCCAACTTGCACTCTTTAAGTTTTTGACAAATCCTAGAGAATAGTACAGCAGCATACATTCACTCGTCATTAGTTATTATTTATTAACAAGTGTTAAGCATATATCTCACGCTCACTATCTGTGACTCAGATGCAAGAATTAAATTACATATTTATGTGCTACCTCATATGCTTAATCCTTAACAATCAAGCCAATGAATTATTTGAAGACAGTTTAATTTAGCTGATGCGCTGTGATTTGACATATCATGCATTAAAATAGATATTTAAGTTAATAGGTCACTTGCAACGCCTACGTTTTCAGAAACACGTTTAAAACTCAATGAACCACAAATATCCAGAAAGCAACTAAACAACTAGTTAAAGATGAAAGTGATGGGGTTTATAATTAAAAGGCTTCGAGAGTATCACATACTACAAATCTACATCTTAGTTTTCAAACATATTTTCTGTTTTGCTTTTCTTCTATCACCATATCATGTACACCATCTTCAATGTTGCACTGTGCAGTGTGCCATAGCTCCACCGTCACTACAAGCACCTTGCGACGTCAACTACAGGCACAAAGTTATATATAATATAATTGAAAAGTATACATACAGAATGACAGGCAAGATAATTTCCATGACAGTCTAAAAGAAGACAATGGAAAGGCAGACACTTTATCCTCTTAAAGTAGATTGTCATATCTATAAAATGGCAGTTTGATGCACGGCATGGCTAATTCTAGGCCAACATATTCTATCCCTAGGCTTTCCTTAATCACCACCTAGATTTCAAGAAACATTTTACAACTTCTCTAGGGACACAACTTCCTTGAAATTATATTTTCTAACTTAACAAGTGATGCAGAACAAAAATAGAAACAATAGAGGGAATTTGCCCAGGGGGGTAGAAGAAAATTTGGGGAGGGGACCAGAAAGAGAATCTGAACTTTATTAATAATCGACATATATGTAAGCTAGCCTCAATTACTGATGGCTTTCTATCAAGCCCAGGAGATAACTCAGTAACTCCTAACAAGATATAAATAAAATAAGAAAATAATTAACCAAAGAATAATATAAGCCTAACGAGATATTTAAATTCAAAATGAGATTTTACCCAATAGACTAGTTCCTAATCAATTTGTTTATTCTAAATCTCTAATTTACAGGTAATTACTATTATCACCCCTGATAGTCCTTTTTCCATTCTTCATTAGTAAGGCTATACTTGGTTAACATGAAAATGCAAATGTAGAATGCATTTGAACAAATCCAGAACATAATGCCATGTTCTGACTCATTTACCAAAAGAATGTCTTCACCCCAATTAAAAATAGCCTGTATTCAACATTATGCATCAAAAAGCACAGAATAACATATCCTCGCATAATGCAACCTTGAACAAAAGCGAAATTAGAAAGGAAGTGGATTAGAATAATAATTCCCTTTTATCTCTTTGAATCTGTGTCCAAGTAATCCCCATGACAACGAAATTGAAAAATGACCATAATTATGCCAAAAGAATTGTCCCCAGAAAAAGTGTGATGTGATGAATTTTTACCTCAATCATATTTCATTCCAAGGATTTCCTCATGGTTGAGAATCCTAGTTCACCTTTAGTGCTACCACAATTAAATTTTGATAAGTGCAAAGCTAGGAAAGGTTGCCTCTATAAATATCTAACTCTTACATTTTCCCTTCTACATTTTCTTCTAGCTTTCAAGAACTTCCAAGAAAGCCTCAGCATCAACATAAAAGACTTTACTTTTTCCCCGTCAATACTCAAAAGTCTCTACCAAAAAAGTTCTACAAGTCATAGTGATCCTCAAAATTCAAGAATTGCCCGATATTCTGAATATTTTTACTAACCAAAGTAGGTGGAGGCTATGAATAAAAACAATTCATAGCCTCCAACTAAGCCTTGCAGTATATTGTACATCAGTACATGACAGAAGACAGGCCAAAGTGCCTGTACAATTTAGATGGCAATGGATGAGAACGAGGAAGAGGGACATGTTTTCAACTCAATTGTGTTGTAGGATTGAAATAGTGAGAGACATTAACCTCAGAAAGTTACCCTACATCAACCTTGAGATTTGAATCACACCACCCATAAAGGCTTGGCAATGTAGAGGGACAGTAGCTCATATGTTATAAAAAGTATCGCATCCAGAAAGGATTTTAAACAAGGAACTTAAGTTTTCCATTGGAGAAACGACTAGAGGAAGAACTCATGCCAAGGACCAAGAGAAAGATTAGCATGAGTGCCACACCCTCAATTAAAACTATAAAACCAATTACCAAATTGAAGAGAACATGGAGAAACATCATATACTGTAACTGCAACATCAATCTAATAATAATTTCAAATAAAATACAACTTCAACTCTTCACAAGAGCCTAATGGACACAATCCCAAGATGTTGATGAATAGAAAACCACTTAAATCCTAAACTAATCATCTAGAAAGTTGCAGCCCAAGGTACCAGTTATGAGATTGCTTAGCAAGATAGAAAAAATCTATCTGTGTCCTTGAGCTCGCTGCATGTCATACGCACCCCAAGTGCCAGGTCCAGGCCCATACTGAGGGTAATTCTCCACACCAGACTGTACCTGAAATTTACCAGCAAAGAATGATATCTAAAGTGACCTAAACAAGTAAATCAATGGTCCTCACATTCCCATATAACATGCATAATAAAAGCACTTACCAACATCTGCTTATGCATTTAAGGGTGAAATTAAGTCATTTGTGAGTTACATAATCCCAGCCGGGATTTTCTTTAATAAAGAAGCTCAGGACTACATTATACATTCACCCTGATTTAGCTTGCAACCAAATTGAACCTTTTAAACCAAATGGAACATTAGATTCAGCAACAAACGTGACACATACTTTGCTCAGATTGGTAGGATTTTGCTCATTGCTAAAATAGCATACTATAAAACTTAGCAAGAACCAAGAACTGGACCTAAAAGTTTAAGTATAAATGGCAACGATTTAATTCAGGTTGAATTCAAGTTTGGTATACAATGAGCAAGCTTGAGCTAATTAATATTCAAGCCTGTTCATCCATAGCGTACTTAATTTCAGATGTAAATGCAATTACATTAAAATACATAGAAACTTACAGGATTCATGACATAGTTGACCGGGTAAGCATTTCCAGCATACCCAACCTCAGCACTGCCATAGTTTGCAGTATAACCTGGACCTGCAGATAATGTTATAACAAAGGAAAGAAGGAATTGAGAAAGCATTGATAAGTTCGAGTGAGGTGTATCAATAACAAAAATACCCAAGCATGAATGTCATAGTTGGCTATTAAATGCAATATAATAATGAGATTTCAAAAGAAAAGTAGACCCCATTCCACCTACATCACTATCACAATTAGATGGTAGTGATTAAGATTACACCACTACTATGTGACCGCATGTACAAAGAAGAAATCACATGCCTTGATTACCAGCATTTAAAACTAGATCACTATTTCACAAGTTGACCCATTAGATACCTGGATTCCCAACAGCTACAGAAGCACGTGCTCTTTTCTCAGCATTAGCAACCTCAGCACGAAGCTTCTCCAGCTCCCGAGCCATTGTGATCAACTTCTGCTCCATCATCTGACCATGTTCATAATTTTCTGCATACCCTTTCTTCTCATATTCAATGGCAGCTCTATAAGCCAACAAGCCGAAGAAACAATTACATAATGAATCATTTTTAGTGAAAGTCACACTATGCTTTCAATCATTTGAAAGACACACACAGAGATTACCTTGCACGCTGTAACTCTTGTTTCATAGCCTCAATATCTGCCCTCAAAGCAGGAACCTGCTGCAAATCTGCCGTCATCCTGGCTAAATCTTGGGTCATTAGTTGAACCTGACCGGTGAGTTCCTGCTTCACAGCAGTAAGCTCCTTAATATCAGAATGAACCTGAAGAAGTTCAGACCTCATGGCTTCAACCCCACGAAGATCCACTTCCATCCGGACAGACTTGTCATACAATTCTCTCATCTGCACATCCTTCTCTGCCCTCAGTGACTCTGCAAAATGTGCCATCCTCTGCAGCTCATGCTGGGCCGCTTCCAGTTCTTGTTTCAGAGCCACATGAGTTGCAGCCAGCCTCTGGTTATCCACTAAGAGACTTTGAATTTCTTGATGCTGACCAGCAAGACGCTCCTCAATTATAGCAGGGTGAGGAGGAAGGGGCCTGGGGCCCAACCGAGATTCCCTCATCTCTTCTAGTAGAGCTGGGTGTGGCAATGGCCCTAGCCCTCTGCCACCAAAAGGAGGTTCATGCATTGGAGGAGGTAGTCCAGCGTGAGGAGCACCTTTCATTGGAAGAGGAGGTCCACGATTTCTTCCCGACATGGTATGTCAAAAAATTTCAATTCAAATACCAAGAAATGTATGGAATCCCTCGAAAGCACAAGCTGCAGAAAAGTCATCTACGAAGTTAAAATACATAACTAGGTGTCATGTTTAACCAGGAAAACCATTTTCAACCAATAAGCCTATAAATATCCAAATTCAAACCTGAAAATGAAAATTAGCTCCCAAGTAATGCCCCCCAAAAAAAGGAAAAAAGAAAAAGGAAAAGGATGTGAAGTAAAAAAAATTGTGAAAGAAAGAAAAAACTTCACTAGGTGTAGGAAAGTATGGACGAGGGATAAAACCACTGAACACAACCAAAATTTTTGCCCTCGAGAATTCTTTTCTGACATCCTTTTCGTCAGTAAAATCTTACCCAAAACGTTATCAAAAATCCTGTTCATAGCAGAACTATTCCGTTTCGATGCCGATAAAACCTAGCTGCTCAAAATGAAACCCGATTCAACAAAACCCAAGAGAGCGAGGGTGAGGATGAGAAAAAGATGAAAAATGCAGCCTAGACACTCAATTATTTGGGAAACAGAATAAAAAATATATCGGTACTAGATAAAGCTCACTCCTTTTCCATCAACTATATGACACAAAGAATTATAAGAAATACGTTCTTGCCGATGAAATCCCTGGAATTTTAGAGTACGTATCCCATGTAGGGATAAGATAACAGACCTCTCAGGAGCAGAATCGGCAACGTAGCAGGAATTGAGGGCTCATGCGGCGATTTCAGTCATCTTAGATTCAGCCGGTCGATTTAAGGAAAGCCCTAGCTTGAGCATTCTCTCCCTAACTATCAGAATCAGAATCAAGACGGCCAGAAAAGAGAATGACAGAGAGTAAGAAAACAAGGGCATGTTTGGAAAAGAACAGTTTCTGTTATCCAAAATAATAAAATAAAAAAAATTTATTTAATAATGTATTTTTAAAAATAAAAAATAAAATATTATTATAAAAAATTAAAAAATAAAATATTATTTTGAAGAATAAAACAATAAAAATAATTTTTAGGTGTTCTGTAATTATTGTTGTGAAGAACAAAAAAAATAAAAAAATATCTATTTTTATTATTTTTTATCAAAACATGTTTTATAAAACACCAATTCTCAAAATAATAAAATAAAAATAATTTCCAACAGCCCCTAAAATTGGCAAAAAAAAAAGTTGCTAACATTTTATTAAACTGTCCCTCCATTTAAAAATATAAGGCATTTTTAGAGAATTAAATGTTTTAAAATGTAAGATATTTTTAGTCTTTTGAGGTGTAATCATTATTTTTTTTTTAAAGTGTCTCTATTAATAATAATTTTATATTTATTATAGGTTGTTTAATAGAAGTAAATATGAAAAGATAGGATTAGTTAAAAAATAAGTAACCACTTTATTGAGAGATGGAATTCAATTAAAAATGTATTACATTTTTTAACGAAAGGAGTAGAAGATTTTAATTTGGTATACAGAATACTAGTTTTCCTTTTTTACACAAAATATTAAATTTTGAATATATTAAAGGAGACTAAGAGGTTGAATAAAAAATACATTTTTACTGGGAAAAATACAGATTGTTTGGTGATAATAAATTCAATAAATATTGTACAAATAAATTATCTGAAAATTTGAATATTTTATCTTTATATCCCATTTTTATTATCAATCGTATTCATGTAGACTTTTTATATTGAAATGATCCACCTATCAGATTTAAAAATTAATAATTATATTGGATTAATAAAAATAATTTCCTATTAATCAAGCAAAGAACTAAGAGCCCGTGAGAATTTGACTGACCGAAAACAGAAATAAAAGAGCCGGAGAGAGTGAAAAGGTGGCCTTGTAACAGTTATCTTTGACCGTCTGTATGAATCAATTAGCCACAACTTCAGGTGGTCTTGTAACTTCAGGTGGGGCTTCAATTAGCCACAACTTTTGGTTTTGAATCTCAAGAGCCATGTTGATCCTTTTTAATAAAAAACCACGTATTAAAAATTAGATTGATAAACTACGATAACGTTTCCAACACAGGGATCAAAATTCAATCTGGATAATAAACTCAAGATATTACAGGATATCATGCGATCTAGTATCAAAAAAAAAAAAGACTAATAAACCACTACCTCCAATTTAGGAGATAGAGGTTGATGAAGGGTATTTAATTATTAGTTTTAGTTGAACTTGTGTGGATATTTTTTTTTTTCTTTTTAGTGCAATAGATTTTTTATCTTCCCATTCAAAAAAATTAGACTAATAATCAATCAAGTAAGGGTAAAAATAAGTTGGACCAATTTATGCTTTAATCAAATAAACCTGAACCTGTGTGATAAATCAAAGGCCTGAATCTGACTTGAAGTTTATATAAAGCTTTTTTTTAATGACTCAAGCTTGAGTCTACTTAAAGCTTGGCTAGCTTACAAGCCTATTTAAAATAAAGCTTTTTAAATAGGCTCGCATTTTAGTTTTAAACATTTCAAATATACTTTAAAACTATTATAATATATAATATATAATATATAACCTAATTTATCAATTACAATAGATAAGAATTAAAAGGACTTACTAACTATAATATAATATAACAATAAAGTGATAATATTAAAATTAACATATAAGTTAAATATAATTAAAAATATAACTAGAAGTAATAAAGAATAAATTGATTAAAAATCATAAGATGAAACTGATGTGTTTATAATATAGTACATAATATATATAGGCTAGCCTGTTAAACTTATAAGTTAGGCCTTGAAAAAATGGACATGACTTATTTAATTAAATAGACTTAATTAAAGGCTTGGACTTATTTAGTAAATAAACTAAACTAGACAATAGGCCTCTGTCAAGAGTCTAATCTATTCTTACCCCCGTAGTCAAGGCAATAATTTAAGGATTAATTATTAAAATTGTAGTCAAATTGTAGTTAGACTAATAATATAAAAAAAATATTCCATTAAACAAATTAAAGTAATGATTCAATGGTTTATCAGGCCAACCCGATTTTAAATACTATGATGATAAAAGAATAATGTGGTAGAGATATAAATTGCATGTTAAATAGAAACAAATTTAATACAGTTAATTCAATTTTGTTTAAAAAAAAAATGCCTCGTGCCATGCTATTGATACAATGATGAAACTGTTAAATAATAGATGACGAATCAAACTGGATAATAATGATAATAATAAAAGACATTGATTGAATAAGAGATTGAAAGCAAAAGAGGAGATTGATAGCAACCTTGATGTTGTTAAAATAGAAATTTTGTGTAAACTCATTAGATCACATTGATTTACCACTTCACCTGAATTGCATGTTAACCTTGATGTTAAAGAAATTAGAACTAGCCAAACAAATATCATCTGAACAAATTTAAAACTTCAGAGAATTTGTCGTCTAGTGTTAAACGTGGGTATAATTGTTTGGATATTCCTCAAAGAAATTATGTATAATTTGATATCTTTAAATAAAAATACAAGTGTCATTCAACTAATTTCACACCTAACAAACTAATCAAATCAAATTTGTTTTTTAAAATTATAATATTTTTCATTATCACCCCTATTTACTTGCATTAAATTTTAAGGAGACTGCACATTTCCTACATGAACTATTTGACTTTTAACTCACTTTTTTATTATTCACAAAATATCCTAATATTCTCTCATTAGAGACAATCTTGTTCAGGACATAATCAGGTGCTAAATGTGAACACTTTTTCTAGTGAAAATTTCAATTTCAGTTCTGTATGTGATGAGAGACTAACCTTTTACGTTAAATCCAATCATGCTGGTAACACTCACTTTTAAATTGCAGCCAAAAGCAAGACAGGAAAGGATACTTCATGCACGAAACATTACCCAAAAGTAAATCATAGTTTGCACTAGAAAAATTTTCTAAAGCATGACTGCAGTTGCACTGGAAGAGTGTTTACACCCAAATGTAAATAAACAAATAAACAAAAAAAAAAAACATTCAGTCATATTAATTGCCGCTGCAGTTTCAGTTCATTTCATGATAAATCACCGTTGATGGTGATAAAATCAATGACTCAAGTACAAACCAATGCCAACCTCTTGACCATTATAAAAACTAGTAATAAAAATTAGGAAACTTTTTAAACTTCACCATCAATTATTATTTAGCTTGCTGGGTTGGATTGACAAGCTTCCCGTGTAATGTCTTTATTAGCTTTGAACGGTGAGATTCCTCAGAAGTCTCAACCCATTAAAAGGCTAAAAAACACAAGGCATGGCCCACAGATGTAAATGAAGGCACTTCTTTCTACTCTCATGTTAACTAGCGGTGGACCCTCGTGAGAAGCTTGCTTCTTTCACAACCCCGCATGCTCATTTCTTCTTTCTCGCTCCATTCAATCTCACCAAAATATATTCATTCCTTCCACTCTCGTCTCTTACTTCACAACACTACTACACATCCTCACACGCTCTCACAGACACAGACCCACACATTCATGGCAGAAGCCTTGTGGGACTTGGAAGACAAACTAAAGCTTTCAACCCAAGGGGCTCTTCTGATACTAGCCTCTGCATGCTTTGCACTTGCTGCAATCTGCACCTTTGTTGTGCTCAAAAGGAAGGCTAGGAAGAACAGAATTGCTCATCAAGAAGTTGACATTGGCAATGGTGAGACTGAAATTAGCACGATGGAATGGTCAGAGCCGAGGTGTGGCTGGATCTCGGTGAAAAGCGTGTTAATGGGGTCGGTGCAGTGGAGCTGGGCATGCAAATGGAAGGCGAATGTAGGGAGCCAGAGGAAGCTGCTTGGATTAGAAAGGGGCAGTGTTGAAATTGGAAGACAGAGTCATAACTCAGCGTCTGCAGTGTGGCAAAGGCCTATACTGAGGGGGGAGAAGTGTGAGCTGCCAAGGTTTAGTGGCCTAATTCTCTATGATGAAAAGGGGAGATTGCTTAGAGATTCTGAGGACGAAACTAGATGCAATGAAAGTTTGAACCAGGTAATCAATCTGTCACCTTGACATTCTTGCATTGCATGGTAACAGAACCCGGTTCTTCTTAACAGATTCGAGCTCATTAATGGTAAAACATAGAGAGTAAAAGACAAATAGTGGGATGAACCACTAATTGTTCTATCATTCTGATCTTATAGCTTGTTTAATCAAAATGGCATATCAGAATCAGACCTTAATAATGTAATGAAACGTTGCTGATAAGTTATACATGCTCTGATGCTCATGTCATCTGTCATAACAGACTCACAAGTAGATCTGATAAATAAAAGAGTTAGATTAAGTTTAGCATACTTATCTCTGACTTCGTGGGTGTTTTGTGCAGGGAAAGAGAGTGGGTACCGTGAGAACTACTCTAAGAGATCTACTGTCATCTTAGTTCTCCTACTCCTTGTAAGTTGTAAAAGGCATCCAAGTTTGACAGTAAAGACATGTGATCTAGTTTTAATATGCAATGATCATCTTACCATATCGAAGCAGTGTATTTCCCTTTCATTGGTAATTAATGAACCCATCTGAATAAGGTTAGAAAGCTTCAAACCCACAATTCTATATACAGCATAGACAGCAGTAAAACCAGAGAAAGGAAATACACACAGAAAAGGCAAAGAACATTGGGAAGTTGAGAAACACTTGGAAAATATAGAAGCAGACAATTATTGCTCGCCTCCCACATTTATGAAAAAACCTTTTTTCTATAATGATCATTTAACTTTATAATTAGTGCTTGCATGTGATTTGGCAGTTAATTATTGAAGAGTGGTATTAAATTATTTACTTCAAGAATAATGTGTATGCAACAAAGGTTCACTTTCGCCATTGATCACTGTCAGCAAAGGTCGCTTCAAGAATTAGAACGGGATAGCATTGCCCACCAGATATTTCAAAACTAATTTAGAACCTATGAAGTAACAATAGCATTCCAAAATCTAGATCAAAGTCTAACATAGAAAGGCGACTCATGCATGTTTTGAATTGCCCCAAACGTGTGCAGGCTCAAATTCTTTTTAAATGAATTTTATTTTTGATAACTAACACATTATACAATTCATGTTGCCAACCACATCTAGCGAGATAAAGCTTCTCCCTCTCCTTCTTGTGTTATAATATATTATGCAAAAGAGAACACATTATTCTTGTGTTATAATATACTGGCACTGGAAGATAGATCGAACAAAAACGATACAATAAAGAATGTTTACTTTTGTTTTGCGGCAATAGTATCGGCATTATGCTATCAAGCATCAAGATAGAAATGAATAATTGAATATCATTCTATGAATGCAAGGATTTGCATCCTCTTATTTGCACAAATAGTATGCCCCCTTACTGTCTTTCATTTGAGTATTGGATCTTACAACAAGAAGCCCCAAGGTAGGTTTCATCACAGGCTGTGAAACTGAAAGAACAGATAAAATGTGTATCTGACTTTACCTTCTTGTCGAATGTGTCATGCATATGGCACTAGCAAAGGTTCTCTAGAGTCTTCTACAGATGCTCTCTTGTAATAGAAGTATAATACCAGCTGAATCGATCCCAAAATGGATCCTACCCCATTTGGTGCCTAGAAAATCAAACACAGATGAATGCTTGAGTGATGTTATATGCGCATTGTAAATCACATATATGAATCAATTACAAAAAGGAAAGGAACCTTACATAAACAAAAGCATCCTGATTGAGCAATCCATAAATAAAGAAAGAGGTGCTCATTAAGAAGGTGGAAAGAGAGAGATAAAATGGCATATAGTCAACACTCCTTGTCTGTATCACCAATTTCTGGAAAATACATTGGGATTCATCACTAAAGTCAATCAACTAAGCTAACTGATGCAGAAAATTTTACATAAGATGGCTACTATGAAGCAAGGATACTTTTCAATTCACACAAAAATACGTTTTAAGATTAGTTTATATGCAATGGCAGAGCCACGTTTAGGTGAGGGTGGCATCCCCTCACTTTGGGAAAAATTACAAGTAGGATATATAAATGTTACAATTTTGCACCCCTTACTTTTGTATTTTGCACCCTTTGAACTAAATAAAAAAATATTTAGGCTCAAAAAATTATTAGATGTGTAATATTTTAATGATCAAGATAAGATATGAAAAGCATATTTACATAAAAGATCATATTAATATGTCCAATATAATTTTCTAAAATGAAAAATGATAATCAATCTACTTATGTTTTTACAATTTTAGTCTTGGTGTAATTATTATTTTTCATTATTTAAATTATTAATTTTTAAATTAAATTATCTCACACCTCTCGACTTTAGATCCTAGTTCCGCCACAGACTATGAGTAGATAATTGTTTGGATAAATATTTTAGCACAGCTGAAACTTACAATTATAAACAAGGGAGAGGCAAACATTGATATGAGAGTAGCACAACTCAGAAATCCCACAAACATTCGCCGCGTTGAATGATTGGTTATTTGCAAGCTTACAGTTACAATGATTGCAAATATGCATAAAACAGCCAGCAGCAATCCAAGCATTCTTACCTACCAAATCGCAGGTCTTAGATTATGACAATCTAATCAATAGTCTTATGGTATTATCACAAGAATAAGTCTAAAGCTTTCAGAAGAGTAACCTTTTTTGCATTCTCTGCATGTACAATGAAGACAATTATGTACACAAACTGAAATACAGCTCCAACTGAATTGACCGACATGACCATCATATTATCAGAAGATATGAGTGGCGAGCCATACCACATGCTGATCAAGCAGTTCAATAGAGCATAAATATAAGGCAACCCTGAGAACATTTCTGTTGACCCATTTCTGATAATCCTCTTAAACGTGGATCTACATTTCAAACAAGAGCAAACTTTAATCGAGAAAGCAAACATTTTAAGTTCTTCTGAGCTCAAGAAATCTCAGAGAAAAACTTACACGGGCGAAACAAATAAGCCCAAAGCAAATATGTTCCCTGCATATAGTCAAGTAAAAGAAGAGGTTAAAGGAGTCATTTCCCGAAGATGCAGATTTTCTTGCTGGTTCATGAGCAAAACTTCATAAACCCAGAAACTAAGACCCAGACAAGAAGTACCGGCGATTCCTGCTGCATCTTTGCAGATTGTATAGACGGAATTTGCGGGAGAAAGAATCATCAATCTTCAAATACAACTTCCAGGGAAACCTCAACAAGAAACGCCTAAAAACGGTAAAAGCCAAACCAAGCCAGAGCAGGCATTACACATAAATACTCTCAAATCGTTAATTTATCCACGTTTTCCACATGTGATTTTCATACTTATCCAGTATCCACTCGATGCTACAGTGTAAAAAGAATTGTTGACGATCGGAGCAGAAAACCCGGCATGAGCCCTTGTGTAGGATCAACTCATACTCATATCGCCGAGCAGTTCAAAGACGATGACCTGGATAGTTGGACTGCAGATAAACAACTTGCTGATGTTTACTATATTTTCAGCAGAATGTGCATAAACTTAACACTAGACGTTTGATTCAGGTAAAAAAGAAAAAGAAAAAAAAAACACAGAACGTTTGAAATAAAATCACTTGCTCATCGGGAGAAAAAAAATGTCAAACAAAAGTTCACTTACCACAGTAGGATCCGATTGGGGAGAGGGTAAGCGAAGATTATGTGGTCATGTGGGGCCAATCTTACAAATTTTGGGTCGTTCAAGCGCATTTTCTCCTAATTTTATAAATTGTTACTCCTTCACTAAAAAATGTATGAAATTTTTAATTAAATTTTATCTCAATAAATAATTACTTATTTTTTAAGTAACTCTATCTTTTTATATTTATTTCTATTAAATATTTTATAATAAATATAAAATTATTATTAATAGAGATATTTTAAAAAAAATAATTATACTTTAAAAAATTAAAAATATTTATATTTTTTAACGTTTAATTCTTTTTAAACGGAAGGAGTACAAATCATCTTATTTAACTTCCGCGTCATTGGATCACTGTTGTCTTCAGGATAAGATATTCCTCTGGAGATGATAAGCATGCTACATGCTTCTAGTCCCATTCTACTTTTTTAATCTGAATATTCTAATCTATTATGAATTACCTATTATCATCCATATATAAATTAAAAGTACATTTTTTTACCCGTGGAAACTTAGAACCACTTTTTTCTATCATCTATCTCTCCTTTATATTTAAAAATATATGATAAAACGAAGGAAAATGATCATTAATAAAACAGAATAAGATAAAATGAGATGGAGTAAAATGAAATTGAACAATTTGTTGTTTGAAAGTTTTATTAAAAGAATAAATAATTTTATTTAATTATTATTTCAAAATAATTACAAAATTAATATATTAGAATTAAATATAATTATACTTTTTAATTTTACAATAAATGGAGCAAAAGAGTGAGAGGAGGTAAGAAAGATGAAAGTAATTTTATAATATTATAATATTATTATTTATATGATATCATTTCACTTTTTACCTCCAAATTGGAAGGTCAAGAATGAATTTAGAATAGCAATAGTTTGAAAGATCACCCCAAACCATTCTACTCTTGTAGGGTCAAAAAACTGGGTTTATGATGATAAGTGATAGTTTAAAAGATCATCTCAAGCCAATCTCTTTTTGTAACAAATTCTCTTAAATAATAAGATAAAGCTTCTAGCCATTTCATTCTATTTCATCTTAATAAAAACTCCCAAACATTGCTATTTTTGACAATTTTTTTTTCTCAATTTTCCTTCTCCCTGTTCTCCTTTCATTTCTCTTCATCTAGATCGGGTATTATTTCATGAGAAGCTAGTATGAGGCGTATATGATTGTCAGGAGACTGGGAGTTGGCATCCCCAGCTCCAGAACTTTTGAGCTTGATCGCATGCTTTGACAGGATCAAGTCACACTAGTATTCTGACAATCACCGTTTGTTTTGGAACAATGTTTACAAAATTGAATTGAATATTGAATCAACAAAAATCTATAATTTACGATTCACATGGTTCAATCATGGTTCAATTGGATTGGACCAATGATCAAACCGATGATATAATAATTAAACTAAAAAATTATATATATATATATAATAATTTAAATATAATATGAAATTGCTGCTTAACTTTAAAAAAATCAAATATTTTAAGTTTATTATGACTTAAAAAACCACATAATACAACATAACATCAAATGATTAAAAAAATTAATCATTTTCTAAAAAAATAAATAAATAACAAAAAATGTTTTTTAACAGTCCGGTTCTTGAAACCAAATCCTATTTTTAGCCTGATTTTGGTTTTCAGTCTGACGGCTCAATCTTCAAAACAGTTTTTATATATTGATTAAACTGAATTTCGGACTCGTCGACGGTCAGACCAGTCCAATCTATTTTTAAAATCACTACTTTAAAATTATATAAAACTTTATTTTCTTATTTCATGAGTCTGAAATTATCCCAACCAAAAAAATGATACTCAAGTTCATAAAGCCTGATTCGACTGAATCCTTCCTGTATCATTTTTTCCTCCACGTTTATTCACGTTTTTACGTGTTCATATATGCTGGTCGGATTTGAGTCTGTTTCCTACTCTCTCCCAATAAATTTTTTCATACTCAATCGTAACCATTCATTTAATTATTATTTTACTTTAATGATATGATATTGTTAATTATAATATTAAAATAAATAAATTATCCGTTTTCATTACTTAAATGTTTTTGAAAATAAAATTAAAATGCTTATTAACGATAACCATTAAATTAATATTATAATTAATAATCTCACATCATTAAACTAAAATAATAATTAAATAAATAATTAAGATTGGATATGGAAAAATATTCTGGGAGAAAGTATGGAAAAAATCTAAATACTATATTGATCTGGTCTGGCCTCTCCTCCTCGCACGAAGTGCTGTTGACCTTTCCGTGTATATCTCGCATGTTGTCATCCAAAAAAGAATGTGTTTTAAAAAGCAGCCTTGCCCACATAAAAGAGAAGGAAAATAATAAATCTGATTCAATATTTTTTTTTAATTATTGATAAGCATTCTTTTATTGGTTGCAACTAGCAATTATTCCCCACTGTGATGCGCCGTACGACGGGAAGCATACCCGTGCATAAACTCAATTAAAGAATAATTTATAAATAAATATTATAACAAAATTACAATAATTATCAGGGCCAAGCATCTAAAATCTAAATCATATTATTATAACCACAATGTTGTTGAATATAAAGAAATTAAATTGTAAAAATACTTCTTTAGACAGGAAGAAAAATCAATAAATTCTTAATAAATATAATAGTTCATTTCAGTTTGGAAAAAGATTTTTTTTTTTAATTCTTTGTATCAACTGAACACTTCATTCTCCACAAAAAAGTCAAAGCAACAATGAAAGTCCAAAAGCAAATAACCAAACGAAAATGAATGACAAACAACAAAGCCCGAAAAAAAAAAAAAAGCAAACAACGAAATTAAAGTGCAGCATCAGGATCAGCCAATACCCATTCTATCATCTGAATGCAGATGCTCCTCTGCAGACGACCCAGCTCTCATGGCATCTACAGCTATCAAATTAAGCAAAGGAAGTGGACGTGTTGACACCCATACACATCCTTACAACCACCAATGACCAACAAATCAGCTACTTTGTTACCTTCACGCCTGGTGAAAGAGATGGAAAAACTAGCATTGGGCATCATCAAATCTATGATATCTAAGACCACATCTCTACTAAACCATTCACATAATTCTGGTCTTCGATCTTGAATACAAGAAACAAGAGTGGAGCAATCAATCTCAAACACAACCTTATCTCTTCCTAAATCTATGGCAAGCATCAAAGCCTTTTTCAGGGACATAGCTTCTATCATAAATGCTGATTGGGACTTAATTTTCTCCACAAATACCCATTGGAACTCACTAGTATGGTTCCTACAGACAATTCCAATTGCTGCAATACTTTTTTTGTGGTGGAAAGCCCCATCATAATTAATTTTCAAATAGCCATTTGGTGGAAAACGCTAAACACATTCAAGATGCATAGAGCCATTGTCCTCCTCTCCCAGACCAGATCTACACCACACATTCCAAAATTCAGTTACAGCACTTTTAGCTCTTGTAATCACAGCCAAAGGGTCCACTTTATTATGGTTAAAAACAGAGATATTTCTAGTGGTCCATATTATATGAGAAACATCGTAGTCCATAAAAGGACTATTCAAGCCAGTGATACTGAGCCACCAATTTTGAAAATAAGAAATCATGCATGGATCAACTCAAAACGATAAATCACAACCAAACCAAACGTACCTCATCCAGGGCACAAAAAAAAGCATATGTTCTACAGTTTCAGGATCAGCTTTGTAGATGGGGCGTAACTCAACATTCCAACTCCACCTCTGGACAAGAGCTGCATTGGTTGCCACAGCATTTGATAATATCCGCCACACAAAGTGTTTGATTATGGGCAAGGGGCGTCTCTTCCATGGCTTCTTCCAGATATCAGTGGGAGTGATGGTTGATGTACTGGCTCTAGCTGCATCTATAAATTCATGTTTCTGTGCTTTTTTAATGCCCTTCTTTGATTGAAAATGCCATTCCACTCTAACGGATTGAATTATACCAACAATACAAAATCTCCCAAGCAAATAACTTTTTATAGATATTCACAAACAACATTGCACAAATTCAGTTAAAGTCATTTACACAAAAACATGTAATAGCTAAATTGATTACAAGTGTTTTGCTTCAAGAAAATGAGCGTAGTATCCAACATGAATTATCATGTTGGCCCAATCACACGGAAGCTGAGATTTTAATTTCTGCGTTTAAAAGTCTTTCAAGAAAAGGTGAGTCATGAGATGAGAATTGTTTCGACAATGTCTAAGATTATGCCATCTGCTGGGCTTTCATGATAAGTAATTTAAAATACATGTAACATCCTAACGCCAAAGAAAATAAAACATGAAAAAATACATTTAATTTGCTCAATATATACATGTTTCAAATTAATTGGCAATTATAAATTTTAAAAACTTTAAAAATTGCACTGAAATTTTGCAACTTCAACATATTTTATTGCGAAATATATTGTGAAAATAATTAACTTGATGATATATATGCTTTAAACTTACTATAACATAAATTTATTTATTACCTCCTTAGAGTCAAAGCTACATAAATAAATGAAAATGCTTATTTCACTTAAAAAAATGAAGCTGCTTATAATTATAAATGTCCCCAAATAAATAGGAAAATGTAATCTTGCAAAGATCAAAACATTAAGAGTAAGGAAATCTAAAATAAATTTAAACCACATAGAAAAGTGGCAATCATGTCCAGGCATTAATATATGAAAAGTCCTCAACCTCTTCCAAATTTGTATACAGGTACAAAAGATAAGTGACAGCAAATAACTTCAAATTAAAATTGATGGTTAAAGGGTCCAACCTAATCAAAGATTTAGAGTGCTGGGCCCCTATCAAATAGCAATATGCATACGAAATTTATCAAAGTGTTTCTTTGATTTGTCGTAAGAGTACAAATACCATTACCACTCAAGAAGCCATAAGAGCAACATTCATTATAATCTATTTAATTTCAAAAAATAAGCCTTCAATTAAGAATGCCCTATTTTTACATGTCATCTAGTGAGTTCATGTGGCTTGGAGATCACAACCAAGTATGCTAGCAAAACATAATTTTTGAAATACATGTTGATTTTTCTAAATGCTGATAAGCAGCACAACATTGACTCAATAAAAACTCAAGAAATTAAATTAAACGATGAGGCGCTAAAGATACTAAATAAAGTTCATTTTGGAAAATCTGCTTTTTAGGGAAGGAGATATTCTTCAAGCCATCTATGATGGAACCATTGGAAGTTCAACCAAATCAAGTGTTCAAAAGAAAATCATTGGTTCACAAAAGATTAATTTTGGAGGGAAACTAAAGAAATAGCTTTTTTTTTCCTTTGCCATATGACATGAAAATAACTTTATTCTTAGGACAAATTCAGCAAATATTTATACAGTTGGAAAAAAAATTCACAGTTCATGGAAATAACATCAAAAGAGAGAGCAAGTTCTCAAGTCCTGCATCTGCTCCGAGCACAAAAAACAGCTATAGACACTGTCATGACAGATATAGATGGTAGTTATACAGATAATTTCCACACTGAAGGAATAATTATCAAATGCAATAATCAACAACCATGTACTCAAGAAAAAATATCGATACTCCTTATAGGAAAATTGAGGAAGCACATGGCAGAATCCAAGAGAGACATCAGTGTTGTTGACATGTTCAAAAATTAGGCTTGGAGCCTTCGATTGTTGGTCTCTAACAATATCAGGCAACTATACAATATTAGGCCCTCACAAAGATTCTGTAATATTTTGATCTCTCCCTTGATCTGCATTATGAAGGAGGAGCATATGAGTTTTCTTCAACACTTGGAAAAAGAGGTCGAGGAATGTTTAGACCTTACAGGAATTGTTGAATTATAAATTAAAGAAAAAGAGACTCTAAATCACAAGGGCATCTTTAAATAATTTAATGGAATTGACTAAAACTTCCTTCAATAGTATGACCTCCTGTCTAACTATTCACATCCAAGAATACAAAGAAACTACTCTTTTTGAAAAGATACATTTCCCTCGACTTGTGTATATACATGTATGCATACATACATATATATATCAGCATATGCGGAAGTAATTTTAGAGGATATAGCTCTACTATTCAGTTTCATCTTAAGCTTCGCTGGTTACGAATGTACTATTAATTAATATATCACGAAAGAGCAAGCAAAATGGAAAGAGCAACAGTGATGAATACCTTTCATGGGAACCTGATTTCTGCTAAGTCTCCTGCTCTAAAAAATAGAAGTTCATCTTTCTCTTCTTATCAAAGGCCCAATGAGGCAATTAGTTGCCAACTACATCTCACCATTGGTCTTAGTAGATGTAGAGCTGTGGATGATTCTAGGATAAAGCAGCTAAGCAAAGAAACCCCAATGACAGAGGTCTTAGATAGAGTAGTTAAGCAATGAAAATATACTCTGGTACTTCTATGATCTTAATGGTAATTACTATTATTTCAAAAATTAATCTTAAATGAAGTAGTTAAGCATATTGAACAAAGAGAGAATGGACTTCTTGCTTTCTCAAGAAACAAAATGAAAAGTAAAATGAGGATCGAGAACCATAGAGCTAAGACCAACCTGATATCCACACCACATTCAAATAAACGACGAAACATTCTGGAGAACCCACAAATCAGCAACAAAAGGGAAAGATCCCAAGACAATATTTCATTAGGGATTCCCACCATGACCTGAATCCCACTTCCCCCAAGAGCCTTGACAACATCATGCTCCGCTTCAAACAACTACGCCAACCTGATAATTCAACAATTTCTTGAACAAAAAGAGTCAAATTCATGATGAAAGAGATGAATAAAAGGGAAAAAAGAAAAAGAAAACCACCAAGGTTTGCAAATAAATCCACCTCTTCTGAGCTTTGATGTTTTTGCTGCTTTTCATTTACCCGAAGCTCCATCTACTCACTGAAAGATGGCTACTGAACATGAAGAATTAAGGATGTGACGGCCTCTCCTTCTAGATCAAAATGGAAGAAGTGAAGAACAGTAAGGAGAGACACAGAGCAATGCGAGTAAATTTGAAGACACTCAAAGCGTGAACCTGTTGCTCCGAGGTGGCCACCGTGAGAACTCACACTCCCGAGTAAGGCCGTGTAAGCTATAAGGCAAGTGAGGCAATTAGCTTAGCCCTCCAAAAAATTTCTCAACACCCTGTTGCATGCATGTGTGTGCGAGCGCGTAATTAATATTTGTATTATTATACACTTAATTGTAAATACAAGAAAATAAAAAGTAACATTAATTGCTGAACTCATTATCCACATAAAAAATAATAGTGAAATTCACAACATACTACTTTGTACTCCATCAGCCTATTTTAAATCCCTCTTATAGTCTCACTTTTCATTTTTACCTTTTCTTATACTAAAGCCTAAAATATTGAAAATATCAGTATCAATACCTTGTGTAATTTTAGACCATTAAGACACATTTTTAAGGCTTATTAAAATCATGTTTATAATTTATATAATTATTATTGATTTTTCACATTAATCATTGATATTATTAATCTTAATTATATATTTTTTGTTAAAAATATATTGCCACCCCATATCAGTGACATTAATAATATTTTACATTCTATTCTAATATATAAGTTGGAGTAGAAGGATTTTGTAAATGCTGATTTTCATTTCACTATTGAATTAATTTAGTGTTTTATTAAAATTATTATACTATAAAATTTTAATATATAATTTTGTGAAAAATGACGAGTGGAATTTTTTTAAAGGAACAATTACAGATGCTAAGTTTCGTTAATCAAGATTCAATAATATGATTTTCATCGCTTTACGCTTCAAAATTCTGTCTCATTATCTGCACCTGAGCTCTCTCCCTCGATAACCCACGGACGAGAAAGTTGAGCGGAGGAAGTATGGGATGCTAAGGCAGATCTTGAACCAGAAAAGAGAAGAGGTGAAAGGAAGAGAAAAGAAGGGAGAAGAAGGAAGAACGAGTTCAAATATGCAATTTGCCCAAAAAATTTGAATCACACATGGCTTTGGATAAAAGCTAGCCAAATGAGCATGCGTTGGAGCCACATTTATATGACTGGTGTCTCGTGAGAGGAGCCATGATGAAGCCATGTAGCCCATTTTTATTTTTTATGTTATATTGATATATTCTAGACATAATTAATTAGGCACTAAATATGGATACATTTTTTAAGGGAGGATTTGATTATAAATCATCACATTATAAGATATTAATTCCTTCTATTGGATTTTAATCTCATTGGCAAATCTAATTTAATATTAGCTTTGAGTTTATTTACAAAAAAATACTTTCTTTATTAAAAAATGTAAGATATTTTTAATCTTTTAAGGTGTAATTATTACTTTTTTTAAGTGTCCTTATGAGTGTCCTTATGAATAAATAGCTTTATATTTATTGTAAAATGTTTAAAAGAAATAAATATAAAAAAATTAATTTAAAAATAAATAATTATTTTATTGAGAGTGAAATTAAGGATTGCTTGTTAAATTTAAATCATCTGTTTTTTTTTTAAATAATATCGCTGGTAATGGTGATACGATGAAAATAAAGTTAAACAGAGGGTGCCTTGCTGACGCATTTCTTATTTTCAGAAAAAAAATAGTGGATGACATTTGGCCACCGATGTCATCTTTTTTTATCAATTCCATTGGTATATTTTATACTTAAAGCGCGTGGCAGCAACAGGGCATCGTGTTTTTCTTGGTTACAGCTCACAGCGATCAAACACCGTATTCATTCCTCAATTATAGTCATGGACCCAACCCCCGCTCTGGTTTGTGTTGTGGCTGCATCCCCTACCTCTAAAAACTTATTCTTTTTAAATTATTATATTTTTATTTTAAAATAAGTTTTAAATTTTCAGTTAAATCAAGATTTAAAGTATTGATATAACATACAGATAATAATGGCTTGGACTCCTTAAACGTTATTTTATGGTTCAATTGTTAGCGGTGTGTATGAAAAAACATTACTTAAAAGAGAACAATCCCTTAAATTATGTTCAAATTTTTTGATAAATTAGTTTCACGACTGTCAGCCATAAAGATACCTTAAGCAACAAAGAAAAAGGTATTGATATAAATTTAAACCATCCTTATCATATACTCTCACTATTACAAAATATGAGATATTTTTAATTAAATATTACCTTTTAATAGAGTAATTACTTTTGTCTTTAAGCTAATATTATCTTTGCATATTTACCCTTATTTAGTTGGGTGTTTTATTATCAAATAAACATAAAATAATTTATTCATTAGGGGTACCTTAAAAAAACAATGATTAACCTTGAAACACTAAAAATGTCTTACATTATTCAATTTCTGACCTCTTAAAAAATGTTTTATATTTTTTTAAATGAGAAAGTAAGTTTTTTGTTTTCAAGGCTCAGTTCATGTGTTGCATTAGCAATACAACACATTAATATAATTCCTTAAAAAAATACATTAATATCATTGTAATATAGGATAAACTAGGAATGTTTCACGAGATAGAAGGAACCATCTTGTCTCAAGAAGTTAATAATACTAAATGAGATAGGATCAGATTGGAATGTCTGAATAAAGCAAACAAGACATATAAGAGAGATTTGAAAAATAACATTTATCAAATTACATAACTTGTTAAGTCTAAAATTAAAACAACATGAATAAATAAATTTAATTATTGAGTTACAGCAACTATAATTTAAAATGAAAAAAATATAATTATAACAATTATAATTTAAAGTGAAGTACACAATAACCATAAATGACTTCTAACTCACAAGTGCTATAATGTTAAGCTATATAATTTAAGTAAGTATATGGTTATATAAAAAGAAAATAAAATAAATAAACAAATATATACTCAGACTCTAATTAAATAAATTAAAACATTGCTTGTTCACATAAGGGAATTCCATTTAAAATTTAAATTTATTTGCCAATAAAAATTAGCCAAATTAGTAAAGGCACGACTTATAACTGCAACAACAACAATAATAATATGGGTTCAAATTTTGCTTGTGAAAAACATGACAATCTGTTCTCGGATATAATCAAATAGGCCGTTCCCTGTCAAAGATTCTAGTGTCATGGTGTTGAGGAAAATTATCCTTCCACATGTCAGGCGATTTGCATTCGGTGACGAGCGAGCTCATGAGGGCCAAACTTGGCCCTTCATTTTAATTCAGATTGATCCCTGCTGCTGTTCACTTAAATTAATTTTTAACTATGTTTAATATTACATTTATTAATATAAAAATTATAAAAAACTTAAAATTTCAATAAATATGTTCATTGCCAATTTGATAGTACAGATTTAATCTAGCATTTTATTTTAATATTAAAAAATTTATAAATTTTATAAATTAATTATTTAAATGTATTTTACATAGTCCAGATTTAATATTAAAATTATACTTTTTATTTCAATAAATATAATGTTAAAAATATTTAAAAATTAATCTTAATAAACAGCAAGAATCAATTTAAATTGAAATGGAGGGCCATGCTAGTGGTCCTAATGAAGGTGCTTGGATCCACAATGAGAGTGGAAAAGTTTTTTTTTTTTTTTTGGGACAAAGAGAGAGAAATTAGGTCATTCTCTTTAACACATATACTCTTCTTATTCTATTTATATGATATTTCAATTTGTCCACACATATTGAGAGAATTTTGTTATAGCATTATTAAAGTCGTCTAAAAGTATCCAAAATTTTTATTTTTACTCGTATTAAAACCTTCAACACACTTTATGAGATTAATAATAAAAAGTATTGATAGATAAAATTGAAAAATCATAATGTAATATCAAGAAACACCTTATATGGACTAGGTTTTATCCTTTTCATCGTGTAAGTAAGATGTAGGAAATACATTGATACTATATAACAATAAGAGTGTTAAAATAACAATAGAATATTAGTGAAATGGGTTTGTCTCTCGCAACATTATTAAACAAGATTCAAATTTCACTTAAAAAAAATATTCACGTTTATCCTCAAATAAGATTGTTTTTAATAGAGAAACACATGTGATGATCAATAATAATAATAATAATAATAATAATAATAGAGTAAGCAATTAATCTAGAAAACTGTTTTTTTTCCTGGTAAAAAAGAACTTATTATACATTGAGAAAAAGTGTTTGCAAATAATATTATATTCTGTCAACCACACATTTACTGTATAAAAGTGGTTAATTACCTCATGGTTGTACGCTTTGATACAAAGAAAGGAAAACCATTATTTTCAAAGAGATGAGTTGTCATTACGGGGAACGAGAGAAAGATACAAATCACATGCATCGAAAAATATAAAACATATTCATCGACAACATTTCCCATCGCTTTCGATTTCCCCTTGAAAATGATAGAGAACAAAATTAAATAAATAAAAATAAATTACGTTCCAACCACAATTGGATTTTTTAGAGAACCCTAAAATTAAATTATTTATTCACTTATTAAAATTTTAATTATACTTGACGTCCTATTTTTTAAAAATGTCATTTCATATTAAATTATTTATTAACAGTTAATAATACGGGGATTTTCTTGCAAGTTACAACTTTCAGTTTGTAAGCGAAATAAATTTTAATAAAAACCCTTGGTCAACAAAAATAATTAACAAGCAAAATAGCTTCTTTACAAAGCTATGCTAGTCGTTTCCCATGCACAGCACCTCATTTGGAGGTGGACGGTGGAATAAAATATTATACCGCAATTTTTTTTTTAACTAGCGATCATAGATAACGCAATATAATTATCCATACAACTATATATATATATATATATAGCTTATATTACAAGGGGTAAATATGCCAACTCCCTCTGCTGCTAATATCTCTTTATTGTCTCAAAATCTTTCTAGTGGTGAAATCAAGCAAGCTACTTTTGGTCCACCTAAAGATAGTGCTCCAGGCCCTTATGAATTTCATGCTGGTTTCTATATAAAAAAAAAAAAAAATTGGAGTATTGTAGGGGAGGATGTTATCACTGTGGTTAGGCATATCTGAAATTCTGAATTTCTTCTAATGGTTATAAATAAAACTCACATCACTCTTATACCTAAGGGAGGAAAAATTCAGACTTTCAAGGATCTAAGTCC